ATCCTCATGCTCTAATAGAATCTGGACATCAGGCACGTTTTTCATTAAACATTTGGATGGGTATTGTAGGTGACAGGTTTCTAGGTCCTGTTGTTTTACCAAACCGATTAACAGGCGCTGCTTACCTCAACTTTCTGCAGAACACACTGTATGAGTTTTTGGAAGACATTCCTTTGAATCAGAGGCAACAAATATGGTTCCAACATGATGGTGCTCCAGCTCATTTTCCCATGGCCGTTAGAGAGCATTTACACCAAGCTTTTCCATATAGATGGGTAGGAAGGGCCGGACCTGTTTTATGGCCTCCAAGATCGCCTGATCTGAACCCTCTAGATTTCTTTGTTTGGGGATATTTGAAGACATTAGTGTATGGTACTCCTGTAAATAGCCTGGAAGTGCTGCAGCTACGGATTAAGTGTTAGTGTTAAGAAATCCAAACCAAGGAGGGTGTTTTCGAAAGAGTTGGAATATCGTTGAGACAAAGATGTCGTGCCTGCTTGGAAATGAACGGAGGGCACTTTGAACATCTTCTGTAACTTTGTTTTTGGTTTGTTAAAAGCTTCCTCTGTCGGTTTATTCCTAATAAAATAAAATGTTTGAAAAACGAATAATGGTCCATATCTCCGCAAACGTTATTTTGCGGACCCATGTATATTAAGACTTTTCTGCTTATTTTGGTTCATACTATTACCTCTTGAAATATTTTACACTCTTTTTAACACCCTGAATTTTAATATTCTGAAAATTATGCGGAAAATTTCAAAGAGACTCCCCTGCCGCGATTAATTGTTACAGTAGTTCTGTTAAAGAACTTTAATGGCAACTCAACAAATATCGTGCGAACTGTACTTGATCTTTTATAGTATACTCTTTTACGACCCTATAGGTATAAAATACATGGAATGACTTGAATTTACGAGAAATATAGAGCTCTGGAAACGTAAATAGTAATTTGCTATACTGTCGACGGTATATAGTCACTTTCACTACAATTGCCGTTTATGTTACGCCTAAAATATTTTAGGTACATTATTCACCGTTGGTTCAGCCCGAACTAGCGCCTTGATTAGAGAACCCTTTATATTAAGTTAGAGAGACGTAGTGTGACAGAGGAATTTGATTTGGCCTTGTTAATTGAGCTTGAGATTGTCAACTCTGAGTGTGTTTATCACGCGTGATATGAACTGATTACTAATGCATGAGGGGGGATCGGATCCAGGTTCTAAGGGCGATATTGGGCTGGGTATTGCGGACATAGACCTTCGAATATATCTGTGCACACCTGAAAAGCAGTCAAAGCGAATGTTATATTAAAAGATTTTTTTTAGGTGTTATATATGCCGGGAATATAATGTGCATTACAAAGTAATCAGGATTTTAAAAAAATAAGGACAACAAAAAGTTTTTTTTTTGGTAAAACTGATATTTTATTCAAAATTCTGATGTCCTTCACGATGTCGGTACAAACATTTTGGAAGTCTTCTACGTCCACAAAACGCTTTTCTTTCATAGGAAAATGCATTTTTCCGAAAAGAAAAAACTCGGACGGTGCCAAATCAGGCGAATACGGGGAGTGGTTGACAGTTAAAATGCGATTTTTAGTTAAAAAATCGATCACAAGTATCGATCGATGAGATAGCGCATTATCGTGCAACAAACGCCAACTTACTTCTGCACCATATTGTGGCCGAATACGATGCACCAAACGCTTCCAAACGCCAAGATAGAATTATGCATTAACGGTTTGACCCGATGGAACGAACCCTTTGTGGACTATTTCCATGGAATGGTAAAAGTAAATCAATATTCACCTTTGACTTCTCCAAACGAGATATTTTGGATTTTGGCTCGTTTGGCGCCTTCCACTCGACACTTTGGCGCTTGGTTTCTGGATCATATTTTTTATGTCGAATTCTGAGCAATTTTTGGTCGTCAGTCAACTTATGAGGAACAAACCATGCACATACTTTTCGACAGCCCAAATGTTCCAATTCCATGAATTTCAATGAAGATTTTGGCTTATCTTTGATGAACTCCCGCACAGTTTTGATGGAATCTGCGGTGATCACGGATTTCGGTTGGCCAACATATTGCTCATCATTTATGTCCCCACGACCTTTTTTAAACCGCGTATATCATGGAATAAACAATCACCATAACTGAACTTCGTTCACCAATTGAAACGTTTCAGTAAGTTTTACCAAGTTTAAAACAAAATTCAGTGCTCATTTTTGTACCGATGCGATGCCACAAATATACTCACTTTAAATTTATAACTTTTGGATCAAATAGTTGATATGACCAGAGAAAAAATGTATCTACAATCCTCCAGTTTGCAACTGGTTGACTAAAATGTATAAATTATTTTTTGACTGTTGAACAGTGAAGATATGCGGAAAAATCAACATTTAGGGGCGCATATAATCTTATATTTAGTCATAGAATGCGTTAATAAAATATTGCAAGCTAATCTGGGGGCAACCCTATATGTAAAGATAATAATTTGCAAGTTTAAAAAATCGTTAGAAAAATGGAAATAAGTTCAAGTGCAAAATGAGAGAGAAAGCTCAAATTTTACTGAAAAATATTAAAAAATCATGCCTTTAATTCAGCTTTCTCGTATACGAAATGTGTTTTTATAGAAGTAGATATATTTAATTTTTGACAATTTTACTCTTCTGTAAATGTTATTTATATTTATAAATAGATCTAGAACATAATACTACTTGAAATGTTATTTACCTTCCTTAGAATAGACCTTTTTAGTAATGACGTCACATACGGCAAATAATAGGCAATGTGATAAAGAATTTCTCAATATTTTTACTAGATCCTTTATGTACTTTGGACATAAGTGCCACAAAAATAGTTTCTTTGTCATGACTTTAAATATCGCGATATTCTGGCAATATTAGAAATATTTAAGAAGTTTCAAACCCCAAGTGACAAACTAAAAGAATTATAGAATTTATATATTTAAATTTATAGAACATTATTGACTTTTAAAGTAATTAATAAATTATAATTATATCCACGTTACCGAGCATGCGCATTAAAGATAATTTTATGTAAGGGAAGTAGCCTCGCAACAGTATATCATTCAAAAAGATTTTGGTTATGGTTAAGAGTTAAGAGTACGTCTATAATAAACCACTTGAAGAAAAAAAACCACTCGATAAACACACTGACGCAGCACAACACCAAGAAAAACAATAAAACTCCTTAGTAGAACAAGAAAATGCCAAGATTAAACAAAAGAAGAGAAAATACGCTAATGATAACGGCGATGATATATCAACAAGATATCACCTGCGCATGAGGCTATTCTTTCCGAGCATGCGCATTATGAATAACACGGCTAATGTTAAATTTTTACTTTATTTAATTTCATATCGTTTTTTGTAAGTTTTAAGCACATTAGTGTCTATTTTACCAAACACGTGTAGGTTGTTCTTAAATACTTGTAAAAATAAATTAATTTGAAGTTGTTCATTTTTATAGTATCTGTGTAAATAGTACACAAGGGCCAGATCCGGTTTGTACAATTTCAATTATAACAATTTGCGGGTTGCCTAAATATGTGACGTCATACTAAAAGAGTATTGCGGACTGCGTAGTAGTAATATATACAGAGTGGTTCACCAAAAGTGTCGTTCCACATTACTTCTTTTTAAAAAAGCGTAAGAATAAAGGTTTATTGGAAACTTTTTTTATTCCTAAGTTGTGAAAACAACTGAGGATTAGGCTACATGAAAATAGGTAATCTTTTATATCGAATATCCTATACAGGGTGATTCAGGTTTAATCTGAATAACTTCAGAGTCGAAAATATTGTTCATTCATGATATAAACTTTTTCCCTAAATCGCATCGTTTCGGAGATAGAGGGCGTTGAAATAGAATTTTCTTTTCCGCATTTCCCCCATAACTTTTGAACTACTCAACCGATTTATGTGAAATTTGGAACACAGACACTTCTTATGATCTTACGTAAGCTTCTTAAATTTGAACCACCTACACCCCTTCCTATATTATTTCAAAACTTCAAAAAAATTAATTAATTTCAATAAGAGAGCTGCACACCACTTTTGTCACATTAATTTTGATACTTTTTCGTCTCTTATTATTATTTTTTTTCGATATTCGGTCTTGTTTCTGAGACATTCAATGTGTGTACTGCGTGAGAGTGTACCGCCCCAGTCGCGTAAATTTCATTTAACGTTATAGTAACCCATGAAAAACAAAACTCACAATGATTTGTATAAACTGACGTTTGTGAAAATCATCATTAAAAGTATTTTTAATCCTAAGAAAAGGGAAAAAAAATCCTACTTCAACGCCCTCTGTCTCCGAAACGATGCGATTTAGGAAAGAAGTTTATATCATGAATGAACATTATTTTAACCTGTTCTATAGATTCCTGGAGTGATCCAGATTAAACCTAAATCACCCTGTACATTCTTGCATGGTTGGGTAGCGATGAGAATGATAAGTACGTATAAGTTTTAATGGGTCTAAAAGACCCTTCAGATGCAATAACTCCGCTTTTATTCGTCCAAATGTCCCTGTATATCAGTGAAGGATCTATCTTTCCGCTGCCAAAATGGCCTCACTAGAAATACCTATTTAAAGTCTCGTTTGCTTTGGATCGCACCTTGTACATATGAAACAATACAGGGTGTCCCAAAAACCATACAGTGTGTCTGTGTCAACAGGAACTACAAATTTGGAACAGGGGATGTGTAATCTCATTTTGAGAATATTGTTTCCTCTGCCTATGGATCTTTTAAGGAAAACGTTGAATTCCCTCGTACTATTTACTACATTTTACTCACACCGTCGAGAAGGGGTAATATCCCGGTTTCTAAGTTGCGAATGGCAATTCTGAATCTTATTTTCAATTGTCTTTCTACCTCATCCTCACATAAGCACGCCTCGTCCCACTGCATTATTTCCCTCTAACTTTTCTTCTTACCTCTAACCGAAGCTGTTTCGTTCCAGATACATCGTCTACATGGACGAGAATAGCGACGCGGAAGGTAATTACACGTTAATAGCGAGAAGAACATTAGCGAACAAAGAAAAAGAATACGGACTGTTTCCAGTCGGGGTTTTCGCCCTGCGAAGGACGGATTCCAGATTGCCAGTAAGTTATTTGCATAATGGCCGGAATCATCCGGCACAGGCCAACACCGAAAGCCGAGCGATTAATAACTCCCAAGAGTGCTGTGCCAATTGTTTTTTTTATCGACGTCATTTGTTTTATTACTGGTTAGAAATCTTTGTTAGTGTGTTCCTTTAAAACCTAATTCCCTCCCTTGAATTTAGATGGGGCATTGAAAATCTGGTGACAGAGCAATGGTAGCTGTTCTTAATTTTTAAAGATTTAACAAACTATACTAAAAACACTATAATCTGAAAATGTCTCTTGGAATTGTTATTTGCTTAACTAAACAGTAAAGTACCACATTTAATGCCACATCTACTTTACTGCCTAATTAACACATAATTTTTTTGCCGATCAATTTTAAATTTTATCATACTAACAAACAAAGCTATGTTACTTCTTTCACGAATAATATCAATTTCATCAGATCGTCTGTGGCGCTGTGATACGAGCGTTATTAAGTAAATAACTCGCCACATTGTTTCTATTTAAATCCAAAAAATAACTATTTAATAAGTGCAAAGTGTAATTTATTACCAGAAAGAAAATATACCAGCAAACATATAAAAAATATACAAAACCTAATTTGCGACACCTCGTTGTGACTTTAATTGCCTATTATGCATATCCATGCTCTAGTAGTAGTAGTAGTATACGCCAATCAGATTTTTTGGCACACTTAAATATTACAGCAAATTTCATGTATTACCTTTTGAAAAATACTTAGTAAATGAAAACCCAAGTGATTTCCCAAGCAAAGTCGTGAACAATTTTTTTTTAAACGGCATTGTTTTGGTTTTTTACAATATCTCAAAAAATAATGATGTAATCGTCTTACTCTCAATTGGAGAATAAAAAAACCTACAAAATGATTTTTTGTGCAACCCGATCGGTTCATTTTTTACAGAGAAAATCCGAAAAAACTTCTAAGAGACCTTTTTTAAAAAAATTTATAACTCCGTCAAAGCTGGAAAAACAATCTCGCGGAAAATGACAGATAATAATATGTAGTTTAATCGTGCGCAAGTTGGTTTATGTCCGATGCATAGTTTTTGCATAATTGCATTATAAATAAATTAGGGTCTTTTTTGCACAACGTGGCGATTTATCAAAAATGGTCCGATTTAAATTCTGAAAACGGCATCTGAAAGTAGACGACAAAATTTCCTTTCGGGCGACTTTCAAGAGCATTTTTAGCATATTTCCCATCACCAAGGCGAAATTCCGAGATATAAAAATTGGAGATTTTGTCTTCAGATGCCGTTTTCAGAATTTAAATCAGACCATTTTGATAAATCGCCACGCTGTGCAAAAAAGACCATAATTTGTTTATAATGCAATTGTGCAAAAACTATGCATCGGACAGAAACCATCTTGCGCACGATAAAATTACATATCTGTCACTTTCCGCAAGATTGCTTTTCCAGCTTCAAATTTGACGGAGTTTTGAATTTTTTAAAAAAGGAGGTTTTTCCGGATTTTCTCTGTAAAAAATGAACCGATCGGATCGCACAAAAACCATTTTATAGATTTTTTATTCTCTACAAAAGTCCTATTGAGAGTAAGACGATTATATCATTATTTTTCGAGATATTATGAAAAAAACAAAAAAATGTCATTTTTTTCAGTTTTTATTATTTAAAAAAAATTGTTCACGACTTTGCTGGGGAAATCACAAAAACAGCCACTTTTTTCGTTCTATTGGTTGGCCTATTAGTAGCAGTAGTTGTTTAAATAAAATTGTTATGGAATAACGAATAAATGAATACAAAATTACTTTTTTTATGGAATGTTATCGTGGAACTGGAGAGGTACCCCGAAAGCACAATGTATTTTCACAAAACTTCTCTCGAATAACGAACTTTAGATCAATTTTTAGTTAGGCGTTGAAAAATTGCCGAAAAAACAATTGTCTGCGAATATAGGCACATATTGTATATAGTAACCGTTCCAATTTAAAGTTTGTAACTACCTTGATATGAAAATTATGCTTATTGCAGATTAAGTTTGTTCAATTTGAAACACGGTCAGATAATTCGACAATTAATTAAATAAAAGTAGATTCATTAGCAGTTCTGGAATGAAAAGACATAGCTTCTTACACACTTTATTTACGAGTTACATCTCAACGCATCCCCCAGACTCCCCTCCAGCAAATCCCTGAACCTCGCCACTGTGTCGTCCAGACATAAGCCCGCTTTCCTCCTGACTTCCACGGCCTTGAAGTGAGCCGCTCTGTGCGCCTCGACGGCCGTCAACAAGATGCGCTTCACCGGCACCACATCTGTGGCTATGATGCCCTTGTAACACGAGATCACCCCCAATCCCGACTTCCTGCTACAGGCCCCCAGATCGTCCAGGAGTACTTGGCCTCGGGCTAAGGCGGCGTTCGTCACGTTGGCCAGCCGGTCGGAGCTCTCCGCGACGCCTAGCAGCGTGCAGCTCCTCAGGGCACCCTTGCCGTCCTCGACTAATTGTTTAATTGTCGGTCGGGCGTCCAGCGAGCACACGGCGTTGCTGTTGCACGAGAGACCTACAAATGACAGGGGAGTGACAGTACGCTGTTAATTAAAGGGGATTAGTAGGGGAAAATACGGTTAGGCGATGGTCACTATTGTAGTAATCTCATTAGATAGATAGGGTCGCTAGATTTGTGATTTTACGGGGTGTCTGCAATATACAGGGTGGCCCAATTGAAACAGTCCACCTGAAATATTTTCAGTGCAACAAGTATTTCCGGAAAACCCCAGAACGGGTCGATTTTGCTTTCAAGGGTTCATCATTCATTCATTCAAGTGGTTTCATCCATGAATTTATTATCTTTTGATAATAAATTCATGGATGCAGGATCATCCCCCTGAACACTTAATTAAAACTTGTTTGAAAACTTTTCGATTTATTTCACCGACACTTCCAACAGGTATTTTACGTTAATCTTAAGATAGAACAAAAAAAATTCAGCATGTTTGTAAAGAGATTTGAAATACCTTTAAAATGACGTACTATTTTGCCACCCCCCCTCCCGCCACCGTGCGGGAGGGGGGAGGCGAGATTCTTAAAGGGGTTTCCACACCGTTAACGAATTATGCCATGAAAAAGGCGAAATTGGACCAGCTTGTCTGACTCTATGATGATAAATTGGAATTAAACGAGTGAAAAATCATACGTCTAGTGAGCTGGTAGAATAATTTGATTTTTTATAACTTTCGTCGATCGTAAATTACGTTTTCTGTGAATATTGACCTGTTTTTTTAATTTTCCCGAAAACTCAGACCCATTGGGCCAAATCTGAATCGGATTCAGCGGAAAAAAATACATGGAAGTACATGGGTCTGAATACCAGATCCGATATTTTTTTTTGTGGGTCTGTGAAATTATCAGGTGGACTGGTTTCATTGGGCCACCCTGTATATGCCGCCCTTCAAAATACAGTGTGTACCGCACTCTTGTAAACTTTTTTTAATGCTGATTCTTCGAGAAAGAGTTATTATTGATAAAAAGATTTGTTTATCTTTATTTATATTGTGTTATGGAATCGGTAGTGTTTCATATCGATATGCAATACAAATTTTTAATGAAAAGTGTCCAAATGTAATAGTCCACAGTACAGGCCCCCTCTGGAAAGTTGATTACCACAAGAGACTTTTCTCAAAGCTCAAACTTACTTTGAGAAAAGTCAGTTATTTTATAGTGTAATATTGAAAGAGTTTAATTAAAAGCCTCTTTTCTCGAAAATCGTCCACATTAGGAAGTTCTAATAAGAGTACATTATTTTTAGAAAATAAAATTGTATAATAGAAATTGTAGCCCGAATGGTAAAAAACCTAACCTTAAAAAAAATAGAACTTAAAATGTAATAAGAATGTAGCATAACTAGCGCCCTCTATGAAATATACAAAAAATAATTAGACTAGCGTATTTGGCACCCTTAAAAACCCCGGACTACCAAATTTCATAAGAATATTTCTCACCGTTTGGAAATTTTCATAAAATTGTTATTTAAAAAATTTTTGTCTCTCTGAATTTCGAAAACAAGAGATAAACATATAGTTCATAAGACAAAGAATTCTCATTTTTTGTCGTACTATCACCCCCTTTATTTACGGGAGGTCTTTCTGAAACACCCTGTATATATTTTTCGTTTTATTCTTGTAATTGTAAATCTATATGCTCAATTTAGCCAAATAAATATCGAGAAAAGAATTAAACGATTTCAAAAAAGGTATGTATGGTGTAAAAAAATTATGCACAAAAGTTTTGGGATTTTCTTTTAAAAAAATAGGAAAATTTTTGTAAAGAAAAATAACAAATGCGAATGAAAACTTGAAAGAGAAAAAAGGATTTTTATATCAAGTATAATATTAATTTATTTAGAAATAATGCATTATGCACTAAGATAGTATTAATCGCCTCAAAAATAACATCATTTGTTTATAACTTTTAAATTTTTAAGCATAAAATAAGCAATATTATAATTATTTATTTGAAACAAATAATAATTTACATAATAATAATTAATAACCATTTATAAATATGAAATTTTTCAAGTGAAAAAATTAAATTTCATCACGTTTATTGATTTATTGATTTTTTAATAATTTGCGGACATTAAATCGTCGGACACTTTTATCACTATTTTGTACAGTAAATTTAAAAGTGGAAAAAATGAAAATTCCGATTTCCAGCTGTCGGACTGAAAAAACGCGGCTTGAAATTTGTCGGACAACAATACTTTTTGACTGAATTAATTATTTACAATTAATTTTACTAAAAATTACCTATGTGGTAATTGATTTTCAATACCCTGTTATTTTGGCATGTTTCGACCGGTAGACACGTCAATGTCGGAAGAATTTCTGTCGGACAAATTTAAATCGGCATTTGCAACAAAATTTTCAGTTACTTAAGCTAAAAATAAAAGATGTCTTGACTTGACTTTTCAAGACCCCGGGAAATTGCCATGTTTTTGGACTTTTCCGTGTGGAAAAGCAGAGGAATCGAGAAAAGTCGCAGAGGAAAAATGTGGTAGACTCGTCAAAACGAAGCCCCTCAGGAGTTATAAAGTATGTGGTAATCAACTTTCCAGAGGGGGCCTGTACTGTGAACTATAACTGTAACTCGTTGGCAAGCTAGTTATAAAATTCGATACCACTGGTGACGTAAAGAATATAAAAAAGATAAAAAAGAATATAATGATATCGGTGCTGTTACTGTTGTAGGTAGTTATGGACTTTGTATAAGACAATCCGAAGATGTCACTCAGGAAAGGGTCAGAAAACATAGATAGTAGCAGATCTCATATTCAAAGAATTTTAGTATATGTATGTACAATAAAATATGTCCATTCAAATCAGTGTTCTTAATCTTAAATTGCTTAATGATCGTCGTTTGGACATTTGTTTAACAATGTGCGAGAAACTGATTGAAAACAGATTCTCTCATCACAATATTTTATTTACTGACAAATCAACATTCACAACTAATGGCCTGGTTTCCTATCAAAATTGTAGATACTGGGTTAAAAATAATCCAAATTTTCGATTGATAACAATCAAAAATTATTTATATCAAAAAATAATTGGTCCTTACTTTTTGAAAGAATATATTAATAAAATTTGGAAATTCTCAATAATTTTGTTTTGGCAGAACTATATAGTGAAAATTTTGAGTTCAGAAGAAAATTAATATTTCAACGAGACGGATGCCCTATACATTCTACACTTCTAGTGAGAAACTGGCTTGACGTTCACTTCCCGAACAAGTGGATCAGACGCTATGGACCAATACCTTAGCCTGCACGAACATCCGACCTGTTCCTATTAGATTATTTCTTTTGGGAGTACCTAAAGCAAAAAGTGTATTCAAATGATTTTGACGATAACATTGATTTATTTAAACAAAAAATTCAGGAAGCTGTTTCCACCATAAACGAAGAAATGGTCTCGTCTGTATACAAAGAATTTTGAAACCGAATATGACTATAAAAAAATTTTTAACTAGCCATTTTCCCGTTACCACTCCCATACACCCCCTTCTGGGAGTTGAAATGTCAACTCTCATACAGTCGAGTAGGGTACTATTCCTATGTTTTCTGGGCCACAAAGATCGAAGAAGACTACAAGGCAATCAGGAAATCTTGGATTTGGATAGAACTTGGAAAAATAACGTTATAATAAGCTTATACATTTTTTTTTACTCGGATTCATTCTGAAGAATCAACTCTTAAAGAGAGTTGAAAACTATTTTTTCGTTGTATCTTTTTGTTTCCCATTAAATTTGTATCATTTTTGTGGAAAGCTACGTTATTTGAAGCTGTTTCTACTAACGTAGTTACTTTGGGAAGCCGGGATAGAAAGCTCTCGGTAGTTTTCCCCCCTCACCAATTGGTGAGGCAAAATTGTTAGGAAGCGTAAATCATATTCCCATTGTACAGTATTATGGTTACAGATATGATATATTTAATCAAACATCTGCTGTGCCTCAAGGATCGATACTTGGCCCACTGCCTTTTGTTCTTTTCATCAATGATGTCGCGAATAATAAGTATGTTGATGATTTGAAAATCTCTATAGTGTCAACTCCGTATCTAAGCGTAAAACGACTTGTGTTACTTTTATAGGTTTCTAAATATAATGCCATGTCTTCTTTCCGTACATTCTATTTAGTTTTGCTACATGTTAGGTTACCACGCACATGTTGGATAGAATTGGTTGTGGAATAAAAAAATAAAACTGGACCCAAAGAGCAACTACCTGAGAAAATTGTTGCCGCCTCTTAGGTAGTAGATAATAGTGATGATTCATCAAAGTATTCATTATTTCATAAAAAAATCCTGTTAAATCTGAAAAAGTGGTAATCGGGCCTATATCTATCATCATACCTTTCCCTTCTATTTTATCAAATTTGATGACAAAGAGAAAATTAATTGTAAATTAACATTAGGTGTTTGTAGTATATATGACGTCGGGACTATTTAAGCAAGTTAGTTTCGAGCTTTCTAATTCATTCATTTTTTGACTAGTCGACTTCTGTAAGTTTCATGACTTAAATTTATACCCTTAACGTCTAATAAAAGGGTCAAGAGTTGCAATTGATTTTGAGGATAGACTATAAGATCATAAGAGACAATTGAAACTTGAAACGCAGTTAAGACAGGTCTATTGTTAGAGCTTTTCTCTTAGCTGTTTTCTTTACTTAGAGCAAATATTAAAGCCGTCCAAACAGCTGAGAAGACACCGCAAGTTTCAGCAAATAATTACATAGGACCTAAACGACACGTTAGACTTCTCCATTCTATATAGATGCTGCCCAGAAGTTTGATAAAATACGTATTTGTCCTACTTCTAACGACATTTTTACATTTTACTATTTAATTATTGTATTACTATACGTAAACGAAGAACTTTAGTCATGTAAAACTTGAACATGTAATTTTTTATTCAATGGAAATATTTCTTTCCTTGAACATGCTTTGAAATATAAAAATGTATTGATTAAATATATTCCATAATATACAAATGCTGCGGAATATATTTTAAATTGAATACAAAAAATATCAGATCTTTCCCTATATCAATCTCATTTTGAAATCCACTTAGTCTTCTGTTAACTTTTGGCACCAATTAAAGAGTTAGTTGGATCATATCAACGTAAGATACTTTTATAGTCGCACATATTTCAACAAGTTAAAGATAAGGAATTTAAACTACTTACGAAGTTGGGTGATCTGTTCCAATAAATCTAAAATGTACCCCGCCCTCTGAACCATCAATTCGATATCTTGAACTACTGATATATTTGTCGAGTTAGCCTCATCTTTCGTCAGGAGCTTGACTTGTTCGAATACTTCCTGTACATTCAACAGTAAATTGGCTTGTTCCGTTTTCGAAGGAATTATGGATTGACGAGCTGCTGATTCGTTGGCTACAATATTCTGAGAAAGAAAATAATTAGACACAATGTTTCATTAAACTTAATGTAAAATCTTCAAAATATACTAAATATTGAATAGGTACTTACGTTTAAAAATCCTATACCAAGAACTAAAAAGGACATCACACATTTCATTGTTTTGAACTCAGTGTACTAATTAGCAGGAAATACATGCTCAGCAAAATTGTCAATGGTTTATTTTGCATGTTATTATTACAATTAACATTCAGCAATAAGTTAATAGCGTAACTATTATAATAAACAAAACCTACAGTGGTGCACCTCGATGACACTATACGACATCAACACAACATTCAAATGAAATGTGTACGACCTTGATATTACAACCGTGTATTTATTAAATAAAATTAGTTATATGGCTCCATATAACATGGTGTCGTGGAATTGAATATGTCGGGTTTTCATCTAGCAACAAGGCCCCACGTTATGCGCCACGTCGCTATATCAGATAAGTCGGTCCTCGATCGTGACCCCACGTTGGGCGCCAGGACCCAGATTTTGTTCGGTTCCGCTAGTTCCTTGCGGAGATGACTTATTTGACTCTGAGCATGTTGCCTTAGAAAATCTAAATATTGACTCTTGTCATTTAAAGTTTTCAATTTCCAATTCCACTAATTCCTTTTCGATTTTTTTTTACAAAGAAACGTAAATGTGACATTTATTTTATTTTAAATTGAACAATTTTGTAGCTTCTTAATTACTTAAATCGTCATTGTAGTTGCTCCACATGACCGACACCATAGACTGGATTACAGGCAGTCCACCAATAGCAGCGCCATCTTGTGGCTTCAGAGGAGAAAAATGCATTAGTAAGTAGATACGAATATTTCAGCTGTATTGATTAGTTTATGATGTAGGCACCTAATTAAAATGTTTTAGTAAACAATAAGTAGGTACCTCTTTAAAAAGGAGCTTTAAAGATTTTTATTTAAAAATAACTTTGTTCGACCTTAGACTTTTTAAGTTTAAGGTAATTAAATCCCTTTTAAATTAAAATACCTTGGAGAATACTATGGAAAAAAATTTAATTATCGGAAGAGTATTTAACATTTATATTCAACATTCCGTAATCTTAATTAATCCCTTTGTGCTTAAGATTACTTTACACTTTGGCTTGAATTAATTAAGATTATATCCGTAAAGGAACGAAAATTTTTTTTTGATACTGTATATAATATGTAGTTCAAATGAAGTCTCTAAATGCTTGTAATGTAATCATAAATGTGCTTTGTATTTCTGTGTAATTACAAAACTAATTTCATTCTAAATATTACTAAAATGATAAATTAATATACAACAGGTATAAATGAATCATGTCAGTTTGAATGGACTATTCAGTGCAATTTCGGTAACTCATATTCATTTGGAATTATACAGGGTGGTCCTTAGTAAACTTCCAATAATAAAGGGGGCTGTTTTTTTTAAGAAAAAAGAGTTCTAAACGGCTTAGTTTTCGAGAAAAAGGAGGAAGAAGATCTATCTATTATATTCGAAAAACGAGTTATTTTAGAATTATTTTTTTTAGTCTAGAATAAACTTACCGCACAGAATAAATAAGAAATAATTTCAAATTTATAAAATAAACTAATGCAAAAAACTAAAGGGTGAAAAGAATTTTCGAAATTTTTCCGTGATTTTTGACAGACTGTATTTAGGTCGGAATTTTTTAGGAGCTACGGTTATCATCTAAGAAATAGCGCGATAAAAAATGTTTGCAAATTTTCTTTATCTGAGTCCACGGACTTGGATTTTTTTCAGCTAACCCATTGCAAGGACCAGATAACTTGTTTATTCAGCTTCAATTTCCTTTTTTTAAATTTCGATACGACCCTTTTTCATCGAAATATCGGACTTTTAATGGAAAAGGATCTTTTTGTCTTCAATCATCGATATCTCGGCGACAAATGGTCGTACAGAGAATTGAAGGGAGTTTCGAAAACCGGACTAAATTTCCTATACCATGCTGCTGCAACTTTTCGGATTTTTATTTTTTTTTCATTTTTTACACGAATTTTAAAAAACAGATAAAAGTGTAATACCTATTTGGTTTTTTAGAAAATTGATGGCTAAATTAGAAATATTCACGAAATATTCACGCTTATACACTTCATAATCATGATTAAAATGGAAAAATTTTTTATTGAGGTTTTCTCACATTTTCACCATAAATGACGTTTATTGATGAAAAAAAAGAAATTAATTCAAAAAATTTTCACTTATAATCTCCCTAGTGCTTGGATTATTTCCGGAAATTTTTCCGAAGGAACGCATTTTCTAGAAAAATGCGTGAAAAGGACATAGGGGATTCGGTAAGAAAATTTTGCCACCAAAATTTATTTCAAATATTTGACATGTTTCATTTTGAAACTTATTTCGCCAAAATAAAGTTGGCTTGACAGGTAGACATTGTTTTGTGGTGCATGACATATTTTTTTCTTCTTAAACGTTACATAATTTAATCGCATTTCACGCGTTTTTTAAATTCAAAAATGGCTCGTTTTGGAAATGAAAATTCCGAAAACATAAAAACAACACGCTCCTTTCACTTTAGTAATAAATGAGACATTTAATTTTTAAATTCAAATATTTATCTTTGCAATACAATTCACTTATTACTAAAATAGAAGGAAAGTAAGTTTTTGTAGAAATGCGATGTCTATGACAGTTTATTAACGATCCTTATTAAACATAAAAAAACACATTATATTCACATTAGTAATAAAAAAGGCATTTAATTTTTGAATTCAGATATTTATGTTTGCAGTATAATTCACTTAGTATTACTAAAATAGAAGGTAAGTAAATTTTTGTGGAAAACCGATGTCTATGGCAATATATCAATGATTCTTAAAAAATCATAACTGCAATCAAGTAGGCTTAGGCTTGTGATGTCAAAATCGTCTTCGCTATACAGTTGACAGTCATTTTCTCTAGCTTCTAATTGTTTACAATTAAATCATGGCAGTGAACAACCGAAAAACTAATTTCAAACCTTATAGTATATGTAATTCTTGCACCAAAATAGGGGACATTCTTATGTCTCTTAAAAATTTAAAAGTATTTTCCATATTTACTGAAAAAAACTGGAATCAATCCGCATCAAGAAAACCTTTTCGCAGCTATTCAAAATATTTTGGAGGAAGATATCCCATCTTTTTTACGTAAAACCAGGGCTTAGCAGAACAAAATTTCATCAAATTACATATATTTTATGAAACACAGACATCTGATGGAAATGAAAAATAATGGTAATAATGATGCTCCTCATTACTCTCCGTTGCGAAGAGAAGAGTTCCAGCCAGAATTTCAAAAACATTTAGCGTTAATAGAAGAAATCTCGGAACAAATATATGGTAAATAATTATTTGTATCTATTTATTATTTTAAAATAAATAAAAATATTACAAAGCAAAATTCTGGATAGATACTGATTTTTGAAACATATGATAGCTGTCAAAAAAAATTTTCACTTATTAATTTTGTTTGCCTAGCTTGGCAGGAGGAAAAAAATTCCGATAAATTTGAAGGTTGCCATGGGCAACTGTCGAAATTACAGTATGTAATTGGTTTAAAATGACAGGTATAAAATTTTCGAAAGGATTTTCGAAATTTTGTAAGTGTTGTTTTTCTTTAATTGTAAAATGATGCGGAAAAATAGTAGAGGTCTTTTTTTTAATACAACTAATAATCGAATGGAATGGATCTTTCAAAAGCTAAACCGTTTAGAATAGAAGTTAATAGAAACGTTTTGCCTTAATATAATCTAAAAAATCGCACCTTTATTGTCAGAACTTATTTAAAGATCATTCTCTAACCACTAAAACATAAACATTGTTATACTTCACAATTACAATAATTACATTTTTTAGATCTGAAACAACAATGGTATATAAAAAAATCTTTTGTAGACCTCTGTTCAATACTGCCTTTATGATACATTGACTGACATTCGTCAAAGGAAATCGAGGGAGAGCGAAAAATATTAATTGAGTTTTAAATGACAGAAAACAAACAGAAAACTTTTTTCTCCTCGCATTTTCGCACTATTTCTCCCACAGGGACCAGGATCGATTTTCTCTTATCTCATAAATATCCGGCATTCGTCAGTTTTCTGTTTACGTTTTCAATTTTCCAGCGCACACGGTGGAGATAACGAGCGGCGTGACGGGGGGGATATTTCTGGTAATTTTAATAATCTCGCTGGTCTTATACCGGAACTGGAGGTATGAACAGGAGCTGGACAGTCTGCTGTGGAAGGTCGACTACAAGGATATCCAGATAAACGAGGAGGCGAATTCCAATAGCCAAGGGACCAAAGTTACTAGAGTAAGTTCCTTGAAGTATACCCAAGAAATTTATTTACAGGTAGAAGGTCTTACATGTTTAACATAGCTGGGACTTGCATAGTTTGGCGTCATAGATCAGGATTACATTTTAAATAGCAAACGTAGGTAGCCTTGGGCAAAATTATGACAACATTCAAATGACAATCGTGCTTTAAGTCACAATGACAGTATCAAATAATGTTCTATAGAGGGAGTTTGTTTAACATTGCAAAAAACTTCCTTTAGTTCAAGCATTCTCTCACGGATTAATGTTAAATTTGCAGAAATTATTACCTGGACAAAAAAAATATGACCGTATAGAAAATTAAATTTTAAATTGAGTTTCTTGTTCTTTAAACTCGATCCAATATGGCGAACATGGTTAAAAAAAATCGCAAAGTTGAAAAGAACGGTTTTTCTAAAATAACTAAGAAAATATAGCACGGATAGAAAAATTTTAAATGAGAAAGTTGTAGGTTTTAAAAAGACCTATCGACTGATTTTTTGAAAGTATCGATTGCTTTGTTACTTTTCGAGATATATCGAAAAAACCGTTAAAAATCTTTTCTTTTTTCTTCTTCTATAATTCGTTTACATTTACGAGCCCATATTTGCTATTTACTGCAAGCATAGCCCGCGGCAAGCCCAAAAAGTACATTTTTGAAAAATTTAAAAATATTAATTATTTTTCGAGATATATCGATTTTTTTGAAAAAAAGGCGCTCTCGAAAATTGGATAGATCTTCTCAGCGGATAGCCCTACTGTAACGATTTTCGGTTTATTTTTTTCGTAAAGAGTTATATTATCACGATGTTAAAAAATGTTGACGATTTTATTAATTTTAAAGATCAAAAAATGACTGAAAAAGTTGCACTTTTTTTGGGTATGTTTTTTTCAAATAACTATTTCAATTTTTATTATTTTTTTGTACTTAATCTGGGGTAGCTAAACACGAATATTATAGCATTTTCGCCGTAGAAGCAAATTAGACTCATAAATGTTTAGTTTCCTTTCTTTAAAAGTAATTTTCATAAAATAAAAATTGAAATAGTAATTTGAAAAAAAACATACCCAAAAAAGTGCAATTTATTCAGTCATTTTTTGATCCTTAAAATTAATAAAATCGTCAACATTTTTTAACAGCATGATAATATAACTCTTTACGAAGAAAATAAACCGAAAATCGTTACTGTAGGGCTATCCGCTGAGAAGATCTAGCCAATTTTCGAGAGCGCCTTTTTTTCAAAAAATCGATATATCTCGAAAAATAATTAATATTTTTAAATTTTTCAAAAATGTACTTTTTTGGCTTGCCGCGGGCTATGCTTGCAGTAAATAGCAAATATGGGCACGTAAATGTAAACGAGTTATAGAAGAAGAGAAAAGAGAAGATTTTTAACGGTTTTTTCGATATATCTCGAAAAGTAACAAAGCAATCGATACTTTCAAAAAATCAGTCGATAGATCTTTTTAAAACCTACAACTTACTCATTTAAAATTTTTCAATCCGCGCTATATTTTTTTAGTTATTTTAGAAAAACCATTTTTTCTACTTTGCGATTTTTTTAACCATGTTCGCCATATTGGATCGAGTTTAAAGAACAAGAAACTCAATTTAAAATTTAATTTTCTATACGGTCATGTTTTTTTGTCCAGGTAATAATTTCTGTAAGCATTTCTCTATAATGCTTGGACTACTTGCCAAAACGTAAAAAAGAGGTATTCCATATAAACTTATTTCCAAAAACGTGTTCTAGGAGAAATATTTAAAAAAAACAATTTGAGATGTTATTGTATCTTATCAAATGTTTTCCTACACAGATGTCTGTAATTATCTACGAGCCTCAAAATAGTCCAGTCAATTACCATTTTCCCTTATAATTTTGCCAAACAACACCGATTTTCATAAAAAATTGGATTTAGGTTCTATTCATCATCTACTTCAAAGTTGACCTTTACCGGGGGTTGCTCTTACCCTAGGGGTGGATGCCACCCCCTCTCGGGGGTGAAAAATGTTTCATTGAAGTTTTTTCTGATAGTCAATACTTTTCGACTTATTCGCGAGGGAGTGTAAATTTTTTAACTAAAAAAAAAAACACTTTCCGACGGTTTCTCACGAATAACTCAAAAAGTAAATATTTTATCAAAAAAATCTTTCATATAAAAAATTTAACTTATAAAGAGAAACAGAAAGAATGGTGTATTTATGGCGTCTGTAGACCCAATGCAAGCGGAGTAATAGACTTATTCGTCAAATGCCAAAATTGAAAGTTTGAACGTGAAATAACCAAAAACCAATGCATTTTTCAGGGAATACTCATAGAACCTAGCATCAAACCTAAGCGAGTTATGACAAAAATAAAGTTGGTCCATATTGTTTTCGTGAAAAAAACGTGAAAATCACCCCCTAATTACCACCCCAATTGAAAATAATCGTTACCACTTTACAATTTACTTTATTTATGTACTTATAATATGCTCTAGAAGTTTGACCGATTTAAAGTGCTTAGTTTTGAAAAAAGTGGAGCTTGAAGTGAAAAGAGAATTTTTGTATTTTTGGAAAAAATTGTCTTTTCTTCAAAATAACTCAAAAACTATTAATGATAAGCAAAATTTTATAGAGTACAAAATTGTAGGTTTTGCTTTCTTGAAAATTTTGTTTTTTTCTGTAGGATAAAAATTAAATTAAATAGCAACTTGTTCAAGCCCTTTCAGCTCAAACCCATACAAAAATAAGGGCTGAAAGAAATTTTAATTTATTTGATCTTATAGCCCTTGAAAAAAACCTACAAAATAGTTTTTTGAAGGCTTTGAAAAACTAAGCGAGTTATGGGTAAAAAACCAATAATATATTTTTGCAGATATCAGAACACGTATATTGAAGCATTGATAAATACACATTATAGCTATATTTTAGGCACAGACGTATTTACATTTTTGATTATTTGTTATTTGCAATAAAAAAAATTTTGTTATATAAATAAAAAAATTAAAATTGTTATTTTCCCTATTTGCAAATTTTATTCAGTAGGGTTTTTTTTAAGTTTTGATAAAATAAATACATTACATTTTAAATAATAAAAATATTGTATTATATTTTCAACTAAAAAAAATTTTTTTAACTATAGTTAGGTAATTGTTCGATTTTTTTGCAAGGGATGATTTTTATAAGGGATGAAACTTATAAATAAATAATAAAAAATTAAAACAGTAAAGAAATCTTAATTTAATATCACTATTAGGCATTATCGGCCTCATTGGCCGATTATCGGTTAAAAAGATATTGAGGAGCTTTGTTATGGCTAGTTTTAAGTCACGTAACTTTGGTCTCCATGGTCCCCATACTTAAACCCTCTCAATTTCTTTCTCCGGGTGCCCCTAAAACAATTGGTTTATACGACTTCAATTGAAAATTTGGAGAAATTACGATAACGCGTTTTCGACAATTCGACATACTTCAGATATTTTTTAACGTGTCTGCCGCTCAATGCGTTGCAGAATAGAAGCTTGTCGTCGATAAAGGTCGTTATGTTCAATAGATTTTGTAAATGTATTTAGTACATTTCTAAAATTTAAAAAAAAATTATGTAACATTTTTTTAATTGCAAATTTTCAACTCAATAAAAAATTATTTAAAATAACGGTATCTTTGCAAAGATAAACCAACACCCTAAATTGCATTCTTCTATGTTTCAACTGTAAGAAATAATTAAAAACTCTTAACTTAAAAAGGGGGTGTGGGTGTAACTACTATAGCGGATGTTTTTGGAAATAAATTTATGCAGAAAACCTCCCTTACTATTTCTAAGTTTTTAGTAATATTAAAAAAAACTTCCTGTATAGCGGAAACAATATTTACAAAAAAAAAATAATTTTTCAGTGTTCTTTGTATTTACTCATGTGTATGTAAAACATATAAAAAAAGTAAAAATCTATTCTTTGATCTTTACCATACTTTGATTAACACTGTATGCAACATAACACACATCAAAGACGTTCTCAACTTTTCGTAACACAAAGAAAACTCGTAAGATTTTTCCATCATCGAACAAAATCTTTCCCATGGCCCCAGTTTTCCGCGAATAAAACGAGATAAAAATCAACGAGGTTAGCAACAATCCACCACCATAAACATCTTATCATCTATTCCCTTTGCACGGATTATAAAAATCCCATTTAATTTTGCCCAAGACTGATTTATCCTCATTTTTTTTTAAAGTAGAGAATAATAACACGATAATCATAAATCACAAACAAAACGGCTAATATCCCACGTGTCCTAACATAGAATTCCACCTAATAAGACTCAGCTTTCACAAATTACAACTTTGTGTTCAATTCGGAAGTTTGCGCGCCTCCTTTGATGGTATTTATTTTCAGTCAATTCATCCCCTGATAAGGACCAGCCAAGTATCCTTAAGTTCGAATCCTGATGCGGATTTCCGATACTCTACGATATTCACACAAATTGGTATTTACAAGGGAAGAATCTTCGCAATCAAAAAAGTACACAAGAAATCAATAGACATCACGAGGGAGATGAAAAAGGAGCTGAAGATGGTAGGGATCTTTTTTTTATTGTTACATTGTACATTTCACTTTCGGTTCATAAAATATTACTTGACAAAAAACCTTTGAATATTCCATTTGAATTCCTTCCATGTAGCGAATCAAACGAATTTCAAAGTTGGGTGGCTGCGAGTGTAGACAGGTCAGGCCCTTTTTTATTTGGAAAACACGTTAAGTGGTTTGTAACGATCGTTATTTCATTTCCATGTTTATTTTATATACAGGGCGGTCCGTGCCTAATGGATAAGTCAAGGGGATTGATTTTATAAATTTAGTTTTGCTCATCCAGAAATATCTCGCATTGAAAAAGTAATAATGTGACAAACACTTGACCTCAAGATGTGTACTATTAAACCAGATGTTCAATTAATTTTTTTTATATAATTAACACGTCTATAAAAAACACGCTATACTAAATAATACATGTCTGACATTACTTTGGTTCTGTTGCCTTTAAAAACAATTAATATTAACGCACTACGTTTTTCGTATAATTTACGAAATTTTCTAAATTGAAAAGTAGCAATTAAATTTATGAGGAATTATACAGGGCGAGTGACCAAAACTGAAACCTCGTATTCTTTGGTGAATTTTAATGGGACTCTTTCATATAAAGTTTTTATCTAGAACGCTTCGTTAAAAGATACAGGGTGTTAAACTTTTTTAATGTTAATGTTTTTAATTTTTTTTAAAAACTAGTAAGTGAAATAATTTGAAATTAGGCATATGTATTTATGTAAACATTGTCCAAAATCTGAAGTGTTTTTCTAAAATGTAGATGCTTCACTGACGGAGATACAGGGTATCGGTGGGATATTTTTCTAAATAAAATAGTACGCCACTGCTTTTCGGTAGCGATCCTGATATTTTCGGCTTCGTCTTTCAATTCTGTACAAATTACTACTCTTCATAGGAAAGACTGCCCTTAAAATTCACCAAAGAATACGAGGTTTCAGTTTTGGTCACCCTGTATACTACCATACGCATTAACTTTACCGAAAATTTAGATATATACAAATAAACTAGATGCTCAATTTAAAAAACTAAAGTTTTTGATCGCCACGCTTTCACGCATCATCCTGTACATTTGAAATTAATTTTAAAACAGCTTTTCTCTATCGCCTTCAACTTTTACTCGACCATTTTTTTTTTGCAACTCGGATAACAATAGAACGTTGCTGTGCTATGGATTTATTTCATTGGTGTACGAAATGGTATACATATATGGGGTGTAACAGTGAAAATGCGACAAATCTTCACCGCTAATTTCTCTTGTAGAAGCAAACAAAAAGTAATAAAAATATTCACGACCAAATCCTTAACTGAATTGTATTTTTCTTGAGAACGGGGCTGTTTTCGTTTATCTGAAAGGATTACAAAGAAACGAAAGATAATTCTGTAAAGCAAAACGCAAATCGTCTTATCCTGTTTGCAGTAATGTACCGATAAAAGAAAATAAAATGTAGTCACTGCGCTGTTAGTCAATAGGGCTAACAGGCTAATCTAGAACTCTCTGGATAATGGATTTCCCTTCCTCTTCTTCGTATTTCAACTAATTCGAGACATTTAAAATTCTGCAAAATAAACTCAGTTACATTGTAACTGTGATGTAACCGATAATAGCACGCCGTAACAACTCAAGAAAACTTACTTTTGAGATAATAGCTTTTATAAAGTATCAAATTGGAATATTATTAACATTATTTAGAATTGATACATTATAATTGAAGGAGATACATAAACAAAGAGTTAGTTAATATTTAGCAATATTTTTTTTCAATTAGACGTACTGATATCAACAAAATGGACCTTATTGACTACAAAATTGATCATGACTTTTCTATTTACAGTTTCGCAAAAAATCAGAGGGCTCACCATTAGAAATTATTAAAAAATCTTGTTGGTAACCATAATTTTAAACAGAAAACAAACGAAATTTATGTTTTATGAACAAAGTTGTCAGGATTGAAATCTGATACCGATTCAGTTCAGTCATTGAATGATTTTTAAAAAATGAAAAATTTTAAAATAGAAATAATAATTGCTAAAAAATTTAATTTTTTTTCTTGAAACGAGGACTTTTGTCATTTTTAAATTTTTATTTTAATATGAATTTCTTAAAAAACCTTAAATAAAAAAACTTGAATTTTAACCGGACAAAAAACCTTTGATAAAATGCTATTTTAAAAGAATTACTTTATGGAACTCCAATAATATTAAGTTTTCGAAAAAATCTTCTTTGGTGCTTTGGTCTTCAAGAACACATGTCATAAGCTTGTTTTCTCAAGTTCCGACGAAGAAAACTATTTTTTTTTAAAAGAACATGTCGCAGTCACACAAAAGCAATCTGTTTTTATGAAATTATTGTTCATTGAAGTTTCACTTTCTGCCGTTCCACTAGTTTCATATCATTAATTTAGATATTTTTAGAAATAAAAAGAAAATTAAACAAACTTTTTTTTTCTACAAAACTGTTAAAAGTGGGCTTTTTAATTGTCATTTTTGATTGTAGAAAAAATAGTGTATGATATACGTGTTAAAAGTGATTTTATTTTGTTCGTGAAGTTAAAAAACTCGCTACGCTCGTTTTTTAATCATCTTCACTCACAAAATAAAATCTTACTTTTAACACGTATATCATAAATAGCTATTATACATATCCTTAAGTAAATAATCTAATAAATTGTTATTAATATTTATTTTCAGATGAGAGATCTTCGACACGACAACTTGAACGCTTTCATAGGGGCATGCACGGATCCGCCAAATATTTGCATAGTCACAGAATATTGCACCAGAGGGAGCTTAAAAGTACGTCGTAAAATTGATTTTTATTCTTAGGAAATCCTCCTCTTCTATTTGCAGCCGCCTTATTGGTTTTGTATGCAAACTGAATGTATAGCGAAATGTATAATGAAAAGGGAATGGGCAAAAACTGAAGATTTAATATACAGGGTGGTCGCAAATTGTCCGATATTGGGAAAATTCGGAAAATAAGAGCGTGATTTAATTGATATTTTTTCAAAAATGAATATAAAAATATATAAATATATCCCTTTAATGGATATTTTTTGCGATATTTTAAGTCTTTCGAGATATCTTATTCATATTTTAAACTTAGACTTAGGGCATCTGGATATTAATTTATTCAGTATTATTAAAATCTCGCATACCATATTTTAAAATATTAAAAAATAGGAATTTAGATAAATAGAATAATTTTCGAGAAATTGAGCCTTACGTATGTGGGTGCATTTTCATTTCAAGGAATTACTTTAGTTATTTGAAACAATTTTTAATATGAATATTATCGTTTTTAATATTACACTAAAAAAATGTAGTCTCGTGTATAAACTTGAATTTCTCGAAAACAGATGGATTTATCAAATCTATAACAATAGATATATGTACAAGAGCAGTTTGTTTCTCTAATAGGTTAGTAATATTTTTGAAATATTTAAAAAATGGGGTAAAAATAAAAAAAGTTGGACAGAATATTGACGACTAAAACTACCCCTTCTGTAAAGATGTGCAGTTTTAGTGACATTTCGTAAAATAGTATTCAGAAAGTAGTATCTCGAAAAAATTTTAAGATAACCAAGTATCTCAAAAAAATATATGATAACCTATTTGATAGGAAGTATATCTGCATTATTTTCCATTTTCTAAAAAAGTGTATCTTATTTTTCTATTTATTATCCGCTCTGAAAATATTGAGGAAAAAAATACAACCACCCTGTAAAGTGGGAGATTATTTTAGATAGAAATATTTAAGTAAAACGTATTTGCATTGTTTTTATAAAAGAATTAAAACGATAACGCTTCTTTCCCTTTAGTTTATTAGGTTTTTAGATTTTGAAACAAAATAAATAAATAGAGGTATATGTATATGTCGTCTGTTATTGGGAATATGATTTGTAGACATGACAAGGGTTGCTAGCTTTCAAGATGATGGAATTTTTTTATATTAATACATTTTCGTGAGGGAAAACAGGGTAAATTCGAAATCAATATAGCAAATTTTTCCCGAACATTTAAATAAATAAAATAAACAACAATGAAAAATGTGCTTAAATGCATTTTTTATACAAATTCAGCGAGTGTACGATTTATAAACATTTAGTGTATCCGTAAATTTAGTGTAGAATCATTTAATGAAAGTAAAATTTGATTCGCTGATTATACTTAACATAACATGTATTTGTAAGACTGACAAATCTCTCTTTTAGGATATTCTGGAAAATGAAGATGTCAAACTAGACAATATGTTTATAGCCTCTTTAGTGGGAGATATTTTAAGGGTAAGGCTAGATTTTAAATAATTATAATTTAAAAATTCAATTTTTTATATTTTAAAAGAAAAGTTCTCTTGTTGGGCTTCAAAAAGACATCGTTATTTGAATAAAATCGATTCACTAATTGTTTTTTCTTATTCTACACATAGAATCTAGTGATGAAGTTAGGTAGGACAACAGGACATCCTATAAGGTGATTTGTATTTTTGTGAGGTTAGAAAAATGGTACGTCCTATCGAAGTTCAACAAGAGAACTTTTCTTATGTCAAAAAAATCGTAAAAATACAATTTGGAGAAGACTACCGACAAAATGGGGTAGTTTTATACACTACCCCAGCACTTGCAACCTATTGCCAAATTTTGGAATGATTGTCCATCCATCTTGTTGAAAATAAAATAATAGATCTCCAAAATATAATTATTTATTCGGAGATATTAAATAAAAACCCACCTTAGAGCCGCAGCAAGGACGGGCTGTAGCTCCCTTAAGAAACATTTTGGGGGTTATGTATGTTGAATTTTTTTACTTATTTTTTAACCTAAAATCTAATTATGAAGTTTAACTAGTAATGGGACACCCTGTATATTATAGTAAAAAAATATTAATAAAATGAGAAGCTACAAAACTATTTAAATATTGTAATTTTAATTCCGGTATGTTATACGGGGTGTTTAAACAAATTAATTAAAAAAATTGAACTATTTCGAAAAAAAAATCTTCACTAACTGCCATTATTTATCAGGTTGAATCACACCCTTTAATCGTACGATGCATTTTAGAAACATCCTGTCTGTCACAGACGTGCTAATTCTTATTTTTTAAATTTCGGAGTGGCAGACGCGACTGTGATTTTAATCGTATTGTCTCAACAAAACGCCTTTTTCAGGGCATGATTTACTTGCACGAATCCCCGGTGAGGTTTCACGGGGCGTTGCACACAGCCAACTGTCTGGTAGATTCCAGATGGGTCGTGAAGGTGGCCGATTTCGGCTTAAGGGAATTCAAGAAGGGGGCTGAGGATCACTCGCTCAAGGACCCTGCCAAGATCCGGGAGAAGTGTTACAGTGAGTAAGACGTCATTTTGACCATGTTTCGACTTTTTCAAACCCTGATAAGGGACATATCAGCGCCAAATTAAATTTGTAGAAAAAATTTATAAATTCAGGATGACAAGGGTAGATATTTTAAGTCAAAAACGATATTTTTGTTTTATTTTTGGTTAGGCATATACATATTTCACATTATTTACAAAATATAATGTATTGCATTCAAATTGATAGGAAATTTTTCTGCTAACATAATAAATAATGTGTTTTATTTAATATTTTCAAGTTGACCTTGAGTTTACCTTAAAACTACTCAAGGTCAAGCTCAAATATCAAAGGTCAAATATTGATTTCTTAATATCATACAACAGTTATCCGCAACTTTTTTTTGATAGGCCACAATATTGAAAGGTGATCGCGGGGTTCCGATCCTTTTGGGACACTCTGTATAGTAATTTAAAGAATAATCCCAACTTTGTTATTTATTATACATGCAAAAGTATTCTTCCCAAGAAACTCATTGTATGACAGAATGTAGTTCACAGAAAAGCAATGTTTAGGCATAGAAATTCTAATTTAACACAAGCAACTTGTTTGAATAAAATAAAATTTTGCATTACGAATTCAGAATTTATATATATAAAAAAAATTGGATGTACAGGGGACTATTACAAATATAATTTTGTAAAGAAAAAAATCAAAAAGGGCAGCTCGAAAATTATTTAAAAATACACTTCTGCACGACACTGGAAACTGGTCCATTGTAAAACCAGACCTCGCACATTGCGACCAGCATGGTGGCAAAGCGTGATAAAAACGGACAAGAACTTGAAAGAATTTCGCAAGAAAAGAGATAAATAGAATTTTATAGCACCTATTTTATATCAGCAAATTCACCTTCACCATTACATAAATGCTTCACCTTAATACAAATGTTGTCTTGCGTCACCATAAATTAAAACGATATCCATCAACTCCGAGTTGCTATGCACGCATACAATTTTTGACACTAACTAGTAAAAAAACTATTGTAAACACTATCGCGACGACGATTGTAAAATCGGATTTTGGTATTCAGTTGTCCAGCTATGTAATGGTTGAAAGTACTACAACTTTCTCGGAAACTATAAAGATTTTACAAAAATTTTGTTTACGTTGACTCCATTTCTCATGCCGCATCTATTCCCAATTTCTTTTGGATAAGTTGTGTATCATCCTGTATAATATTTCAAAATTTCATTATAAAAGTCTACGAAATCGAAAACTAACAACAGTGAAATAAAAAGTTGTCTGTATCAAATCTTAGGTTTATTGGCTTTTGTAAAAGACGTAAACAAAATTTGATTTAAAACAATCACGATTGGGGTAATATATTTCCATAACAAAAAAATCCTGCATTTTAAATTTTAAATTAAAATGAATGAATGAATGAACTACTTAATTAAAATTAATTAAATTGAATTTTAAAACCCTGCATATTCTTTAATAATCTCAGAGAAATTATAAGAAAAAAACGATCCTTATTAGAAAACACTCATTTTTACTTGGAATATACTTTGTCGTAAGGTTGCCTAAATATAGACATTAAAGACATTAAGAAAAAGTTTCAATATTTTACTGAAAAAATATTTTTACTTAAAAAAATGTGTTTTCTAAAACTCGTAAAAAATTTAAAATTTTCTGCTTACAACAAATCTGAAGCACATAGTAAAATAAAATTTAACGAAACATTAATATGTAAAAGTAGATTTTTCGTCAGTGTCAGTAGTCATAAAAATAATCTCTTTTAAATAATTTTTAGGAAAACTCACTCTAGTTCGTAAATACAGAATAATATAGAAAGACGAAGGCGAGGTCCTATCTTCGGACAATGTTTATAGAATTGGAAAAACATAAACGTTATGTCTACAAGAAAATGTTTGAAATTATTCGCTAGGATAACCCATAATTATTTTTTTTAATTCCTATAAAAATGTCCGTCCGTCTCGACAAAAGAACCAAGAGGGCACTCAGTTTGCAATTGTTCTTCTGTGGATTTTTTCTTTTTCAGTTAAGACATTCTTTTCCTCTTTGAAAATCATTTGCAGGCGGTGAAAAAAGCAAACTCGCTGTGAAACTTGACTGAATTTATTAAAATGCTCGGAATACTTATTGTATCTCGGGTCTCTGTTTAGTCTCACCAACTTGTTTTTGTAACGGCATATTTTGTTCAAATTGCTTCTTCTCTTAAAAAAAAACTTACAATCTGATATTCTCTATTTCAAATTTAATATCCCGTTATGAAATAATTCTATTGCAGGATTGTATAAATTCCTGACTAGGTTCAGGTTTATATTTTAATACTTTTTGTTTGGGTATCTATATACCAAATGCTGTTATGTAAAAGACAATCTCACTATATGTGTTACAAAGAAAGTCATTTACAGAGGAAATCCTAACGCCTTTTCGTCAAACCTTCCTGTGAAAATTATCAGTTTATTTCGTTTCGTTTAACTTTGTACATCAGAATTTACAATTGTGTGAAATAGGGTTCATTAACACATAAAAGTAAGTCCATTGCCCTCAGCTTATACCCCCATTTTAGATGTAACGTAGAATGTGGGATGGAAAGCTTTTTAGAATCAAGTTGAAATATATGCCGTGTACGAGTCCGTGCTATTAAGAAAACTTATACCACCATATTACGTCCAACTGTTTCAGGGCATACAAAAGTCGAACAGGATATATGCCACTTAGAATTCGATATCAGCGGAAATAAAAAACGAAATTAATTAACAAATACCTGGAGCAACAATTTCACTGTCAATCAAATCGGCCTTTGTTCATGATCAATCGAATCGGCCTTTGGCGCACATGTTGGTCTTTGGATTGACCGTCTTTTCCATAAATTTCATCAAAATCCGTCGCTTTTTGCAATAATAATGCCCAATTTTCGAAAACCGATATTTCCGCGTTCAACCTTTATTTTACAGTTAACAAATTAGTGAAAAATTACTTTAGGTACTTTAAGTTGTACGTAATTTAATTGCCTACAACATAAAATAACTAATATTCCGGCAGGTCGTCTAGATTTTTAGGGGCAGTAATGAAAATGAAAAAAAAAACACGTAAATTAACCACCTATTTGCAATTTGCCATTAGCGCTACTTCTTTCGAGTTACTTTTATAACGAGCGTTCAAATAAAAACGTGGTCAAGTTGGTTCTGAAAATTTGGACGTAGGGCGTAGCGTATAGCAAATGAACTTAAACGTCATCTGTCAAAGCGCTATATCGCCGCTATCAATTTTAATATTTTCGTTTTAAAAAGCGTTTAAAATGGTGTTTTCTCAAGAACAAAAAGTGTTTATCATAGAGTCCTACTTTAGAAATGGACGCAAGATTGATGGAATATGGAAGTATTCTATTGAGGAATGTTTCATAGAATTTCAAAATCAATTTCCCGGCGTTGTTGAGTACAAAATTTTTCAAAGTGCAGTTCAGCGTTGTGTTAATGTTTTTCGTGAAACGGGCATTGTAACAAGAAAAGAAGGAAGCGGCCGACCTAAAAAGCGGACTGAAGAATTAAAAGAAAATGTCCAACAAATAATGGAAAATGCGCCAAGAACTTCTGTACGTGTTTTCTCACAAATGGTGGGAGTATCAGTCGGTACCTGCCACACAGTGTTAAAAAAAGATTTGCGTTTGTTCTCCTATCGTTTAACTTGTCAGCAAGAACTTCATGAAGTTGATTTTCCGCGACGGGCTGTATTTTGTGAATGGTTTTTAAACAACTACGGTGAACTTTATAATATCACCTTTTTTCTGATGAAGCCTGGTTTCATATAAGTGGTTACGTAAACTCACAGAATATGAGAATGTGGTCTTCTGAAAAACCAGATAACTTTTTTGTCGAGGGCCCTCTACACGCTCAAAAAATTGGAGTTTGGTGTGCTCTCAATCGAAGGAGGATTTATGGACCTATTTTTTTTAATGGTACTCTTAATGCGCAAAGGTATAGAGAAGAAATTATCACTCCTTTTGTTAACCAGCTGGAAGAAAACGAAATTACAAACTTTTACTTTCAACAAGATGGCGCAAGGGCACATACGGCAGGCGAGACGATGAATATGTTGAGGGAAATTTTCCAAAATCGACTAATAAGTCTCAATGCTGAACATGAATTTCCACCGAGGTCATGTGATATTACGCCGTGTGATTTCTTTTTGTGGCCTAACCTTAAAAACACTATTTTTGAACTGCCTATTCCTGATTTAAACCATCTGCAGGCTCGACTTATAGACAAGATTCGTGAAATTAACAATACCTCGAGCATCTTAGAAAATGTCTTTAATTCTTTGAGGAACAGGTGTGAAAAGTGCTTGGAACAAGGAGGGGGACACTTTCAGCAGCTGCTTTAATTTATTGTTATAACAAGGAGGGGGACACTTTCCGCAACTCCTTTAATTGTTTGTTATTGTTATCACAATTATTCTTTAAAATAAAGTTATATAGTCATTAACGTTATTGAAACTGACAGCTGCTATACAGCTCGTTGAGAAATGAGGTTAAGTTGGTCGCTATAAGCTACTCCCTACGTCCAATGTGTCAGAGCCAACTTCGACCACGTTTTTATTTGAACGCTCGTTATTATCTGTTACATACCCTACCTCGTCATAAAGTACAGTAAAATGTCTACTAATAATTTTTTCACGTTCAAACTCTAATCTAATCTAAACGAAAATTTACTTTGTCCAAAACATTGTCACGTCGAAAACTTATTAATTTTTCTGGTATAGCTATTATTTAACGTATATTTGTGTGGTACGCAAAAAATTCTGGTTTCTTACAAACTCATATTCCATTCCAACGAAATATCTGGGCAAAACAAATCCTGCATTTTCATGTGACGTATAACTAGTTTGTTTTCTCCTGTTCATGCAGGTGGCATGGCGTTTGTGACAACTGAGTATATAAAAAAATGAAATCAACTTATTGTGCATGAAACACGTTCAACATAGAATTAAAAACGTAATATCACAATGGGGAACAAATTGATTAGATTTTAATTTAATTAAAGTGTAGCGATGAAGAAAAGATTAACGCTGTCGTGCAAAGAATTCGTATCCAGTATACCCATTTCATTCATTAATACAAAAAAAAGGTTGTTAAGATTTCTTACGAAGGGTTTTTTTGTACGAATCCGCAACCATTATAACCGCTCGCCGTCTAGAAGGATTTTTCTATTTTCTATTTAAAATGTCGCAGGTGCTTAACAACGTAGTCATCCTGATATCAAAAGATTTCCTAAGGCAGAATTCTACTAAGCTCTCCAAAGAAAACCTTCTACTTTATCTGTTGCCCTCCTTTTTACTTATTGTTTGTTTGGAATCTTAATGTTATTGCCTTCTATTTTGGTCCTGTCCGGAGCAACATGAGCTATCTCAAAAAGTTTGTATTCATTTCCGGATACTGTGTCTTTCACCGAAGGTTTGTAGGTAGAAATAAACCAACACAAATCGAATTGTACAAAAGTTTATTTTAAAGTTTTATATCCAACCAGCAAGCTACCTATATATACAGGGTGTGGCGTGTATAATCTATAAAAATTTAACTACAGCTTCCTAGCGATTTCTTGTAGTAGAAAAATTCTATTTTTGCGTTTTTTTTTTCGTAAATTAAAGTTCAATTATGGATCAAAATATTTATCTGGAACGGTCGTATCCGTGTGCTGTACGATGAGTTACGTGCTGTAGACCAGGCGCGTAAACAAACCGTTGTTGAAAGATAGAAAGATACTTCTCAATTTTTGGGGAATTTTTCAATGCAAAAGTACAAACTAAGAAAAATAGATATTTAAAAAAAACTGATATTTTTGTATTATAATAATTAATAGTAATTACTATCTTAAATGCATTGTTGTTACTGCAAGAGTTGGCAAACAAAACCACATCCGTAAGCATCTGTAGTTGCCAACTGTGTGCACTAAACAAACTCCATTAAAATAATGAACAAAATGAAATAAAACTTACCATTTATAGAGAAAATGTTGAAATTGATCCCCATTAACGCGGATACAGGCATGGCAACGACGCACCCAATTTTGGCGAATATTTTCCTAAATTCCAGGTATTCTCCTAATTCTGTCAGCAGCTTCAAGTATACGGTTTCGCAATTCTTCCACCGTAGCAACTGCAGTATTGTAAACCAATGACTTCAAGTGACTCCAAAGATAAAAGCCCATTGGAGTTAGATCGAGTGACCGAGGTGGCCAGGGCACAGGACCAAAGCGTCCAATCCATCGCTCAGAAAACATTTCACATTTAAAAGTGTCGTTACTACTCGAGCACTGTGTGGAGGAGACCCATCTTGAAGATAAAACATACGTGTCAGAACTTGCACCTAATGCCACATCGTCCAATAATTCAGGCAACCGGTTCTCCAAAAAGTCAGCATATGTTGGTCCATTTATTCGTCCTTCAAAGAAATAGGGACCCACAAGTACATCGCCTATTATGCCAGCTTAAACATTTACCGAGAACCGATGTTGAAAATGAGTTTCCCTAATCGCGTGAGGATTTTCATCGGCCCATATGTGCATATTATGGAAATTCACTTCATCACGGGTAAATGTCGCCCCATCTGTTACACAAACATAAGCAGGAAAGTCTACTTGATTGGCACATTGCCGTAAAAACCATCTGCAAAAACGCATTCGTTGATTACAATCCGGGGGATGATAGGGGTGCAACAGCTGGCGCCTTAAGAAGCGATGTACGGTACGAGATGAGGTTCCTACTTGCTGTGCGAGTCGTCGAGTACTAATTGTGGGGTGTTCGTCAAGATTTTCCAACACTGCATCTTCAACATTAAGGTTCACTGCTGACCAGGTCCTTCTCCTCGAGGAATAATACTTCCCGTATCTCGCAGCTACTGAACTCACAGTAGGATTGTATTTGCACATGGGGGGTGACATTGTGGTCGTCGTTCCCGGTTCAACCTAGTCGCCGCGAGCACATTCTCCGGCTGCACCATACACTAACACCATATCGACACGTTCGGAAATAGTGAATGCATTATTTTCTCGGTTCATTGGAAAACTAGTTTGTGCACAAACTAAAAAATTAAGCAAAGTAAGAAATAAGAATCTCGTTTTTAATGTAATCGGCACGCTATTCTTATTTTTTACTTCTTTTTAAAAATTAAACTGTCACTATCGTGGAACTACAAACTAAAAACTTTCGTCTGGAATCTTTCACTTTTTAACACTGATGGGTCGATGGACGATGCTTAATATTTAATAATTAAGTGAATAATGAATTCAATACCAATACAAAATCAGTTGACTGCACGCATTTTTTGACAATGTAACCTAGCCTTCCTTTAGTATTACTAGTATTAGATTATACCGACTTAAATTATAAGGTTGCATCTCGGGTAGCATAAAAACATTTCCAAAGTTTTTAATAAATAACACAGGGTTGCCCTTCATTTTTGTTTAATAAATGAATTAATTTCCAAAAAAAAACGCGAAGATAGAACTTTTTCGTATAAGACTTTTCTATTACAAATATCATCAGGAAGCTGTAGTTTAATTTTTATAGAATATACACGCCACACCCTGTACACAGGCTGATTGTCACCAAATAATGAGATGTACAATGGATCCGTAGAAATATAGCGTAAAAATAAATCAAAGAGGATACCAAAATTATTTTAAAATATTTATATATACGCCACTGGAATTTAGTCGACTGTAATACCTGACGTAAAGGCCCAACTAAATCTACATTCATCCCTACCCAAGATCCCAGACATGCGTATTGTACCTTATTCATAAAAAGACATTTGTCAAGTTATCGTTTTCGTAGTTACTAAACTCAACGAGGTTGAAAAAAATACTTGGTAAAAACTGACATGCACCATCCACACGATACGGCATTTGAACACGTTAGACTGCACTTGTTTAGGTTTGACAAATATGTGGCAAGTTACCGACTTTACGTCAATGATTGAAACAAATGATATCCTTACAGGTCTCTTATATCGTGCCCCCGAGCTTCTACGGACCAACGAGTCGTTCCTGTCGAAGGACCACCCCAGCGGAACGCAAAAGGGCGACGTCTACTCCTTCGGCATCATATTGTACGAGCTACACAGCCGGCACGGTCCATTTGGGGATACCAGTCTCTCCGCTGCGGAGATCCTGAACAAAGTCATCCACTGCGTTAATCCTGCCAGTCCTTTCAGGTTAGCTGACATTTTTACATTATTCACCGCGAAGTTCCGACCGTAAATGAATTTTGCTTCTATTTTAAGCCGGCGGGGTGGAACTTTATGATGGGAGCATAAAATAAAGTCGGATGATGGGGTTAATGTTGCGAGTGATATTTATTGTGGGGCAGCTTGTATAAAATGTCGCGATATTAATCATTTTGGTATATTGGAAGATAGTGTATTTATTATACTGTAGCTGGCGGTTTTAGTATACGCTACAAACATTTATTTTATTATTAGTTCTCACATTTTTGCTTCGTTTTAAAGATATTAACCTAACTCAAACAACAAAAAAAAAACAAGATTTTTAAAAAATTAATTTTTCTGAATTTATTATTATTCTATTATTTATTTATTTATTTATTTATTTATTTTATAACTCTATTATTTCATATAATCCAGAAAAATTAAACTATAATTTTTAAATATATTTTCTTCGGTTAAAGAATACAAAAATAGTAAACATTATTTTAAGTTATAAATATAAGAAATTAAGGACAGTATTCGGCTCAGTTATTTAAAATGACACATGCTACCTCATGTTTGAGTTTGACTAAATGCTTCATTAACACCTTGTATATTCTATGTCGAGAATCTTCCAAATTATTTTCAATAACAGTATAGTCAAATTAACTTTTACCTCTTCTAGACTATCCACTTGTTGTTCTGCCAACATGAACGTACAAAACTTAATTTTTCATATAAAACTATTGTACAATGGGTATTGTATCTCGTGGTAAAAATCAGAACTATATGCAAATTAATGCTTTAGTGCCAAACTAATGGTTAATTAATTTTTAAATAACAAAACTCAATTAGAGAAAAGAAAATTGGGGAGAATTCTTAGAAAATCTTATATAGTTTTCACATTTGAATATTTATGAATATCAAACGTATCATTTTATAGGTTTTTGACGGTGTATATTACGAATTAATTATGCTCTTTTTAATATTTTCCAAAAAAATATGTTCTCCGATTTTTTTTACTTTGATTATTAAAAAATAAAAATTTATAATATGATGAAATCGAAGATTTAAATTTGATGACAATAGGAAAGGGATTTTCTAGAGCTGCAAAAACAATATACAGGGTGTCCCACCGGGAATTGCGTCGATCGATATCTAGGAAAGTACTGCTCCTAAAATTTTGAATATTTGGCAACATTGCAATGTCCCCGGGACAAACACAACTAAAATATCTAGAACTCTCCAGCACTTTCGGTTATACCGGAAGTCGACACCAACTTCGTTATTTTAAATAGGATACTATTGCGTTTTCGTATTCTACCTGTTTGTGGGTCACTTTATTAAATATTCCCTATACCTAGGAGTTATAGATTTTGAGATAGGTATTAATTTTTAAAGAAAAAATTTGACAGATGCAAGGGTCCGCGGAGATGCTAGTAACTATTTTCACGAGCGTGATGTCAAGTGGATTTTTGATACCTGTAAAAGGCATAAGTAACACTATGGCATGCCAACAAATTAAAACATTTAATACTAGGTGTTTCATTTTTATAACTTCAAATCTATAACTTTGTTAACTTAAATGGAAAACCCTATATTTTTTTACTCTGTCGTATGCAGATTGAAATTTCCTTTCAAGCCATATAAGCATTGTTAGGGTTGCCGTATTTTTTGAGCAGTTTTTCTCGTATCAGACCTGTCGTCAAATTGGCCATGACACTCCAAAAACAATTGAAATAACATAACACTTGTCAAGTTAGTTGTCAAATCATTGTTGTGTCTGAATAGTTTATGCCGAAAATTTAAATAAAAATGCCTGGGGATCGTTTAAATTATACTAATGAGGATTATTTTAATTTTATTGTGAATTTCTGGAAGATATTAAAAAACCATAATTAATTCCTGATGTACATCTTTGAAAACCTATAAAATGATACGTTTGATGCTTATAAATATGCAAACCTCGGAAAACTATATATGATTTCCAAGAATTTTCCGTAATTTTCTTTTCTCTAATCCACTTTTCTTATTTAAAAATTAATTCACCATTATTTTGGCTCCAAAACATTAATTTTCACATAACTTGTACTTCATTTAAAAACTATTGGGAAAATCGAAATTTTCATAGGGACTATTTTGAAGAAATTGAACAATTTTTATTTGAAATTTATTTTCCAAAAAATCCATCTTCATTTAGATATTGGCAGTTTTTGGTCAAAAAATGCGAAAAATCATATATACAGGCTGTTACAAATTCGTTTCTCACTATAGGGATCTCAGAAACGTTAAAAGATGCGAAGTAGCTAACGACACAAGAAACATAGAAATCTTTAAAAAATTAGATAAATTTGGAACGAATACATTGAAGATTAATTTTTCGAGACAAAACGTCTGAATCTGATTCGAGCTGAGACAGCTGAGCTTGGGGGTCATGAAGGCTTCCAAAAAATGTAATAAAATTTCCAAGGTCGTATTTAAAAAAATTAAGTTGATGATAGTCCTGGAGTGACGAAAAGTTACATATAAAAATCAATTATGTCATTCGATAGAGGGCAAAAAGTTGCCATGAGAAAGTGTTCTTCTTTTTTCAATATCACCTAAAACAAGGCTGAAATTAAACAAAAACGGATTTCCAAAATTTCGGTGTTTTTCAAATATTGCGAAAACTAATCATGTTAGCCTTGATTTTTTAGAGGCATAATGTTGATCCCCTGATTACGCAACTTTTGCCCCCATTTAAGTTAATTCGTATCTCTTACCGTTTCCGAGATCCCTATGTGAGAAGCGAATTTGTAACAGCCTGTAAAAAGTCCCCAAGGTTCATCGGCTGTTACGTGAGAGCGATAAAGAAAGTCATAGAAATCCGTACGATAAAGAAATATGACGAAAATGAAGGCGTCTAATAGTCACCGCCCATTTCGCCCTTCCACAAATAAGATCCACTTCTTATTTGTGGAAGGGCGAAATGGGCGGTGACTATTAGACGCCTTCATTATAGCCATCTTTCTCTATCGCACGGATTTCTATGACTTACTTTATCGCTCTCACGTAACAGCCGATGAACCATGGGGACTTTCCGACCCTGTATATCTCAAAACGCTGGTGGTTGCGTGTGTGACATGTTTTCTGACCTCAAAACCTACACTATACTGTAAAAAATATCAAAGTAAAAAAGTTTGCTTATTCCGTTTTTTTACGTCTAACTGTCCCGGACTATTATTATTTAAACATTTCAATTTTAGATTTTATTTTGGATAATTTTTATTGCTAACTCTCTAATAAGCATTAGCAAAGTATAATCCAATAATAGTTGGGCATGTAGCCCATATAGTTGTTGTTTCCCGTAGTACCAGCAGTTAGCAGCTTGAATTCATTTGATACGATTTTTTTTTTAATTTGTTTCACTTAACACCTTTAAAAATTGCAGACCACCTCTGGAATCGCTGGAAAATAGTTTCGATTTTGTAAGGGACTGCTTAAAGGAATGCTGGACTGAGAATCCCGAAGACAGGCCGGATTTTAAGAGCATAAGAACTAAGTTAAGGCCTTTGAGGAAAGGAATGTAAGTATCCCTTCGTCTTTTTATACAGGGTGTCTCACATTTAAATAGCAGGACTTCAGGAATCAGTAGAAGACCTCATTTTGAGTCTAAAAGTTCCTATATATATGGGTCCTAAAACGCTTCGTTTCTGAGATACAGGGCGTTCAATTTTATTTTTGTTTTATTTATTTATTTTTTAACTAAATAACCGCTGACAAAAAAAATCATCATGTTGCGGCGAAAGACTTAGTATTTGAGGGCAAATAATTTGACACAGAAAATCATCGCATATTAGTTCCAGTGGTGGAGATAGAGGGGTCTCTATGCATATTTTTATAAAAAAAAGTATAGCCGATTTGATATTTTGCAAATGTTTTCGAAAAATATGAAAGAGCATTCAATTTTACCCAGAAAAGGCCCTCTTGTCCAAAGTCGATAGGAGGTGGCGTTTTCAAGAAAAACCGAAAATACTGTTTAGAAGTCAAATTAAGAAAAACCGAAAATACTGTTTAGAAATCAAATCAGACTTGAAATGTCATTCTAATATTGACATTTGCGCTTATTTTATTATAGTTTCTAATTGTGTGTAGAGTATTAAAAAAAATTGCAACAAATTCAAAATGCCGTTTAAGTTTACGAACCAAGAATACGCAGATATTCACTTCGTATACGGGTTTGCCAATGGGAACTCGGCAGAAGCTGCTAGGGAATATCGGAGACGATTTCCTAATAGAAGACAGCCGCATCCACACGTTTTTATTAATATTCATCAACGTTTCGCTAATGACGGATTGAATCTGGTCCATAGGGATCGCAACATAATTAACGTTAATATTGGCAGAAATAGGAGGAATCAGCGAATCTTGCACGAATTTGACAGAGATCCCACGACGAGTACCAGAAAAATTTCCAGGATTATTGGTGTTTCCAGGTGCACTATTTCTAGAACATTAAGACGAGATCATAGACATCCCTACCACTTACAACCTGTTCAGGGTTTACGTCCGGGTGACGAGGAACATAGAATAGCTTTTTCTCGGTGGATTCTTAACTCAATTGAAAACGACGGAAATTTTTTATCACACATATTATGGACCGACGAGTCATGTTTTACTCGTCGAGGTGTGACAAATTTACACAATCAGCATGAGTGGGCACATGAAAACCCGCATGCAATCAGACCACGAAATTTTCAGCACGAATTTAGTGTTAATATTTGGCTCGGCGTTTATAACAATTGTCTTTTCGGCCCTTACATCTTACCTCAACGACTGAATTCTGCGAATTTCTTAGAGTTCTTAGAGACCGAGAGTGCCAACATGTGGGAGGAAATTCCTCTGAATTTAAGAATGCGAGCATGGTTTCAACTTGATGGCTGTCCAGCTCATTTTGGCCGAAATGTCAGGAACTGGTTGAACACCCACTTTCCCGAAAAATGGATTGGCCGCGGGGGTATCGTTGCATGGCCTCCCCGATCCCCTGATCTGACACCCCTAGATTTTTTCCTCTGGGGTTTTATTAAAGAGAGAGTTTATACCACTACTGTGGACACAAGGGATGAACTTATTCGTCGGATTCGGAACGCATGCAGTGAAATCAGAGACAATAACTTAATTCAAATGAGACGTTCTATTCAGCGTCGGTGTCAGTTATGTATCGAAGAAAATGGTTTACATTTCGAACATTTGCTTTGATGTAATATGGTTTTCGTTATTTATTTTTGTATTTATTTTCATTTAATTAATTAAAAACAATTTTAACCGAATTTTTGAACTACATATTTAATTTAGTTGTAACACAATGTTTAAAAATTATTATTTGACTTCTAAACAGTATTTTCGGTTTTTCTTGAAAACGCCACCTCCTATCGACTTTGGACAAGAGGGCCTTTTCTGGGTAAAATTGAATGCTCTTTCATATTTTTCGAAAACATTTGCAAAATATCAAATCGGCTATACTTTTTTTTATAAAAATATGCATAGAGACCCCTCTATCTCCACCACTGGAACTAATATGCGATGATTTTCTGTGTCAAATTATTTGCCCTCAAATACTAAGTCTTTCGCCGCAACATGATGATTTTTTTTGTCAGCGGTTATTTAGTTAAAAAATAAATAAATAAAACAAAAATAAAATTGAACGCCTTGTATCTCAGAAACGAAGCGTTTTAGGACCCATATATATTGGAACTTTTAGACTTAAAATGAGGTCTTCTACTGATTCCTGAAGTCCTGCTACTTAAATGTGAGACACCCTGTATATGTAGATGTATTTAGCTAAGTATTATTACCATGACAAAAAAAGTATATGGGTAAAGTAACCTTACTAATATTTTAAATGTTGCTTCATAATTTTATAAACTAAATACCATTTAAATATGATTAGGGGAACTCCATTTCTAGAGAGCAAAGTCGTGTTGAATATTTATAGGGTAGATACAACTTCTGGAAACTTTTAATGCACTTCTCTGGCAATATTAAATTCTACATACTTTAGCTGTAAAGTATTAAAATAAAAAATAATCAAGAAAGAAACGTTAATGCTATTGTTATTAATGTGAGACATTTACAATAATATAGGACCCAATGAAAACTAAATATAGTATTTCTTGATACACATCAGCAATGTACCTACTAAAAGTGTCCATAAATCATTCACTATCGCCGTTATAATTGAACATTTCAACCGACAACTAACGAGTACATATTCCAAGTTGCAAATTCCTTTCCCTTAATTACTTATTAGAAAGGAATTTCGCAATAAACTTTATGGAACCATCGACTATTAATCATTCATAAGTTTGTACACTGTGTAGGTGTGAAGTTTACGACGCAGAGTATTAGTATTAATAATAATTTATAATTCTGTTTTGAGGAAACCGAACATTTTCGACAATATGATGGCGATGATGGAGAAGTATGCCAATAATTTGGAGGTATTAGTAGACGAGCGTACGGATCAGTTGCAAGAAGAAAAGAAGAAAACTGGTAGGTATAGTGTTTCCGAAGTCAGTTGAACATGTAAAAAACGCCTGGCAATAAAATTTAATGACTTTCATAGGCGTCCCTAAAAGAGTTTTCTGCTAAAGGTAAAAAAATATAATAATTTGTATGAAAATTTCTATTATGTGTTTATTTGGCCAACAACATTTTTTAATTATTTATGTCCTCAAACAATTTTATTATATTGTTGGTAAATTTCGTTTTATTCCGTTTCAAAAGGTCTCCAAAATGCCATGTAGTAATAATATTATTTATCCCTTTTGCAATTGTAATATCAATGATTAATAGAAGGTACCTATAATAAATTAAAATTACCTGAATCACACCAAATTGCTGCACTGCACTGCTGGGCAATCTGTCAACCACTTGTCAACAGCTGAGATTTACTGCCCAGTGGCCCAATGCAGCTGTCTTTGTATTTCGTTTGCCCGCGTTCGCATTCTTCTGGACATTTCTACCACCACCACGTTTAGTTCGACCAGACCTGTATATGGGTATGGCTAAATAAATATGGGAACAAGTTTTTCAAATATTTCAATGCCGAGTTGCTGCATACGCGACCGAACTTGGTATATACTGTCAACCTCTTGGTTCTTCAATTGATATCGAAAAGACTGTAAATGGACCTCACACTAAGCTCTAGTTAGTAAAATTTCAATACATATGAAATTAACAGTTACTAATTGTTAGTTATTAATGGACAGTACAATTACTACAACTAGTAACTAGTATAGTTATTCAATAATTTACGAATTATGACAGCAACAATGAAACTTTCTAAACCTAGAAAAAAATTGAATTTCTTGAATTGAAAATATCACACCTCCACACGAAAAAGTCATTTCGAAATTTTTGTCTTGACTAAATTACATTGAAAATTTTCGTTTTTTATGCAATTTAAACTGGTGATAATTAGTAATTTGTTTTTTTCTTAAATATGGTTCCAATTTTATTTGAGTTATATGTAGAAAAATATCTGTCTTAATTTTAATTTATTATGTTGGACAAATACAATTACTGAGTAATTTTTCTTTGTTAACAACAAATAATGCTTTTAGTAATCTTATAAAAAATTATTGGATTAAATAATTTGAATAGACAAATTGTAATTAATACAAAATTACTTATTATAATAATACTTAATTAGTAACATCAACACAGTTATTACAACCGATTGTGTATTGGTTTGAACCTCGACATTTTCTGTCTTATTGTTAGTGTTATCTTTTGTTATACATATTTTGGTCTTGATTAAACTTATTGATGTTTACTCTTTCTCATGGTTTGAATTATCTTGATTGGCTGGCTGTTTAATACTGTAATAATAATGTTGAAGAATGAATTACTGTTTTAGTTTTTTAGTGCCAATTCCTATATCAGTTTCTATACAAATGTTGTCCTGCTTCATCATAACACAAACGTTTCACCATAATACAAATGTTGTCTTGTTTCACTAAAAATTAAAACGATATCCATTAACTCCGAGTTGCTATACACACACGAAATCTATTTTTGACACTAACTACAAAAAACTATTGTAAACACTATCGCAGATTGTAAAATCGGATTTCAGTTCGGTATCGCTGAGGCCACGTGGCTCTCCACGCGTATTGCAAATGACACTAGCGACTACAGTTGTCCAGTGATGTAATGCTTGACTCCATTTCTCATGCCGCATCTATTCCCAAATTTTTTTGGATAAGTTGTGGATCACCCTGTGTAGTATTCTTTCCAACTGGGCAGTTCTTGTATCATCCCCTTCAATTTGTTTCCTTCCAGTTTGGATTTGGAGTTAGGAAATCCTTCCCCGTCTCTTCATGCTTATTCATGTAAAGCAATATGGAAAAAATTGCACCGTTATCTATTTAGGGTATCTTGATCCCAAAGGAAGAGGGTCAATTGGGCTTCTGTTCTTATTTCTTTGATTTTGTGGCGAGTTCGGCTAAGTTCGGGAAAATTAGCTGCTAACTTTGACTATTGTCTTCACACCGGTTTTTTTTCGAAGTTATTTAAAGGTCGTCTCAAGATCATCAAAGACTTGTATGTTTTTTCTTTTCACTGCAGAACTCGACAAACTGTTTCCATACTCTTATTTAAGACTTTTTGATATTTTTAAGTATTAAACTTTCAACTTATTTTACAAGTACTAACTGATCTTCTTTACCGAAACGAAAAATTTTGAAATACTATACAATAATTTCGACACTTGGACTTAATGTCAAAAGAGCATGGCTGTCATGTTTTTTATATATATTTAACTTCAAAATGTCAGGTTTAATTAAAAATTTCTGGATATAATTTAAGCACTATTAATATTGTAAATGAACATTTCTATAATTTTTTCAACCATTGCACTTGAGAGAAAGTTAAAACTTAAAAAAAAATAGGTATTTACAGTGAGCTATTTCTCGTCTTTTAAAAATCCTAATCCTTTTCAGAGGCTCTACTCTTCGAAATGCTGCCTCGGCCAGTTGCAGAACAACTAAAGAAGGGGAACAAAGTGGAAGCTGAGAGCTTCGATTGCGTTACTATATATTTCAGCGACATAGTTGGTTTTACAACCATGTCAGCCGAGAGTACGCCTCTGCAGGTAAATTCTGTTACCGCTTCGCCTTCATAAAAACTGAATACTTTTATGTGTTCGTTGTTGTAGTATTTGCTTTTAAAGACCGGAAAAATCCAGGGATAAAAAGATATATAAATGTTTACCAGAACTGGATATGTTTCCGTAGAAAGTAATATTGGACCTGAGTTTTTAATAAAACGTATTTGATGTTTTAATGAAATCCTATATTGAATATTACAAAATCAAAAAATCTGTAAACAAGAAAGATCACTCTTTGTGATACATAAGTGAAGTTTCTTTAGAGAGGGTGATTGACAATTTAAATAATAATAATAATAAAAATTAAAAAAGACACAAAACTATTCTGACCATGCTCAATGTACGCATAGTCAATGTAATAAGTCTTCTCGAAAAACATTCTACATAGCGGAAAGCTGTTAATGCATTTTGTCTTGCTTCGCCGTAAATTGAAACAATATTCCATTAATTGTGCGTCGTTCTACATATGGTATTAATCAAGATATAATTTAATAAACACACTACAGACATCCAGCTACGTAGTACAACTTGTAACATTTTTTTCACGAAATATACAGTACGCGCCTGAAGTATGGAATAAATTTAGTAAAGACGAAACAATTTTTTTTGGGAAAAATCCTCGAACAGGTCGATTTTTAATTTAAAAATGCATATTTTAGCATAAAAGGCGATTTTCAACCGTCATTTGTTTTCGAGTAATGACGTCATTGAGATTTTTTTAAATAGCAACCCCCTATTTTTTTCTTGATTCTGAAAGACGGTTTTATAAAAAAATAACAATTCCTATGTCAAGCAAATAAAATTCATTAAGTTTTCTACCTAAATTAAGTGTTCGAATTGCCACCCACCGACTTCTTGACAATACGCAAGTCTGTGTAGAAATTCTTGCACATTATGAATTATTTCTTGGGTAACTTTGTGTATTTCATCTATATTAAAATTTTGGAGTTCTTCTAAATTATGTGGTCTATTAACGTACACTTTGAACTAAAAGTAGCCCCATAAGAAATAGTCCAGGGGTGTAAGATCTGGGGATCTCGCGGGCCATTCTATCGGTCCTCGTCGATCCACCTCCTAGGAAAACAATTCTCCAGAAAATCTCGAACAGGGTACGCATGGTGCGGAGGTGCACCGTCTTGCTGAAACCATATGGTGTCATCAGGAATATCAGGGTCATTATCGTTAGGAAAAATTACTGCAAGCGCTGGAACATGGTCATTTTGTAAAAACTCTAAATATCTTTCTCCTGTAAGGGCTCCTTCAAAGAAGAAAGGCCCTACTATTCTGTTGTCAACTATTCCAGCCCACACATTTAATTTCTGTGGGGTGTTGGGTATGTGTCTCTGCCATCCAATGAGGATTTTCCCGACTCCAATACCTGCATGTTTGACGGTTCACTGTACCATTGAGACAAAACGTGGCCTCGTCTGAAAAAAGTATTTGGCGGTGTAAATCTCTATTTACTTGACATAAATCCATCATAATTTCACAAAAGTGTAAGCGGCGGCGGTCGGGACCGTCTTCATTGAGTTCCTGCACAAGATGATATTTTTCCTCCCTCAGGATACGTAGCACTGTGATCTTACTAATTTCATTGTTTAATGTAACCAATCGTGAAGTATTATGAGGATTATCTATCATACTTATCACAATGTTCTGTTTGTGATCTTCACTAACGCTTGGTCGTCCAGGTTTTGAAATATCTATAACATTGCCAGTTTCTCTAAATTTAGATTCTACCTTACTGAATGTTGATTGGCTGATATGGCGATCTGGATGTTTTTCATTAAATAAATCGCAAACTTCCTGCTGCGTTCTAGTCTTATCCCCGCATCCGATAAGAATTAAAATTTCAATTGTTTGTGTGACAGTTAAATGTGCCATAATACTTTAAATTCAACAATAATTTTTATATCGCTTACAATACTTAGAAAGTCGGTATGACAGTAACACTTTGTAAAGATTTACACCTACGTGACCCATAAAAAACTTCAGGAATTTCTAAAAACTAAATTTGATAACGTTTTTGCTTTATTTTAATTGATTTGGGTTTTATAACATTCAATCGTCATTTACTCGAAAACTTTCCTATTCTTATCTTATCTTATCTTACGATGGCAACATTTTAATACTGTCGGATCGACAATGAAACGATCTTTCAGAATCAAGACAAAAAAGGGGGTTGCTATTTAAAAAATGTCAATGACGTCATTACTCGAAAACAAATGACGGTTGAAAATCGGCTTTTATGCTAAAATATGTATTTTTTAAATTAAAAATCGACCTGTTCGAGGAAAATTTGTTTCGTTTTTACTGAATTTATTCCATACTTTAGGTGCGTACTGTATAACATTTTATTATAACTTTTTGGTGATATCGATTCAGTTTTTAACGTACATACATCCTCAAAGTTTTTTAGATGAATTGCGAATCACCCTCTATATCAGTCTATTTGTTTTCACTTGTTCTATCTGTTCCTAAAGTTTTCAAGACGAAATCTATTATATTCCGTATTCTGGATGCTCTATTAGAAGTTTATGAGAAAACTTTTACTAGCAAGAACTAAGATTAACATTTTGGAGTGCCATTGTAAACACTGAGTAGATAATAAAATACCGTTAAGAGCTTGGTTCCTCTCTTCGTTCATACTATAATCTGTATTCTCGATAAATTGCAAAACTTTTAACTAAAATGAATGTTAATAAAGTAGAATCAAATGTATCAGGTTGTTCTAGATACCTAATCAAAATATTTAGAAAAAATGGAAATAACAACTAGTAGTACTCTGGCTAAGTCTGATATTTTTATTGTAGGTTGTGGACTTTTTGAACGATTTGTACACATGCTTCGATTCCATTATTGAGAACTATGACGTGTACAAAGTTGAGACGATTGGAGACGCATACATGGTGGTAAGTTAGAGATGCTAGAATTATGGACAAATTTTATGTTTTAAAATTAATGGATCGATTTTGCACACACCTGCAAATAAATTATTATAAAAAAGTGCTATGAACGAATTAGTGTTTTTTTAGCCGTACTGTTATTTTAAATCCGCACTCTTTGAAAAGCATCATTGTACACATTAAGGTACACGTACTACAAACTGAATAATTAACTGAACATAATACTAAAAACTCATACTCAATTATAAAACGTAGTGAATACATTAACAATATTAATTAAGAATACTAAATTGTATAACGTAACATTCGAAAACAATTAACCTTATACATTTGTTTTTATTAACAAATAAATCATACTTGTTATTATTTAAAATGTAAAAAAATATCTTATTCTTTTATGTGCCTGCTAAAAAGCTCTGTTTATTCGATGTAGTTTCCTACGGATTAAAAAGGCATTAAAAGCTCGGTTAATGACCGCGTATTACGGTAAGTTAAGATTCGCTCTTGATAAACCTTTGTGGGTCAGTGGTTAGCAGCAAAGGGGTTTAAATAATGATTTGATTTTTTTTTAATCACGTATTCGTAGTCGACTCATTTTCCCGATCTTCCCTTAAAATTAATGACATTATGACTGAGTCACCCTGTATAGTAATAAAAATCATAAAAGTATATATAAATAAATGCGGATTGAAATAAAGGTTTTAGTTGGAATTTTTCGCAATATGCGAGAATTTTTGAGAAAATTAAACCACGTATTAAGTAGTATGTCAGTATCGGTAAATATTTTATTTTTCCTTAAAAATTATTCGCCTAAACGGAGATATGCCTACGCAAATATTTCTCAGTTGTTCTGATCCATTTGGCAAATTCTTTAGAAAAGTATTTAATCTATTTTTCAAGGCAAGTTTGTTATACAATATTTTGAGTGAATAAAGCGAAATGTTATTGTTCAACAAGAAAAGTGCGTACAAATTTTGATATAAGCAATATTCTCGCCTCAAAGTTTGAGGCGGCGTTCTTGTATTTATTATTATACACTTAAGCCGAACTTTAGAGACGAGGTTTCACGACATCGTTGTTTGGTCTTCCTTTAAAATTATGTTGAAACGTTCCTAACGATGGATTAATGAAAGTTTAATATTTTATACCCTTCCACAAAAAGATTATTGAGTTCCCCTTTTTAATACACCGATAAAACAGTTAATATAAAATATTCGTACCCAAATGCATAATAACCATTTCAATTTGCATAATATCTAGCCAGTTTTTTTTACTTATTAGGTAAGTGGTCTCCCAATCCGGAACGAAAATCTACATGCTGCTGAAATAGCTACGATGTCCCTGCATTTGTTATCAGAAGTAAAGCAGTTTTCTATCAGACATCGGCCGACGGAGAAATTAATGTTGAGAGTAGGAATCCATTCAGGTCAGTATTTATTATTTCACAAACTTTTCTTTAAAGCATTTTATTTAAAATTAACTTATGACTTAAATTGTGATCATTTATACAGGGTGATTCAGAGCTTATCCAAAAAAAATTTAGAATGTACAAGTGACTCTTACAAATACAATTTTGTTAAAAAATCAATAAATGCGGTTTGAAAATGATTTAAAAATACACTTCTGCACGGCACTGGAAACTGATCCACTGTAAAACCTGATCTTGCGCAAAATAAAGCATGCAGTCGACAACAGGCATGGCGGCAAAGTGTAATAAAAAACGAACGGACAATACGGACAAAAATTGAAATATTTTCTTTCCTATCGAAAGAAATAAATAAAATTTTATAACAGCAAATTCAGCTGCTTCTGACGCTATTTTTATTATTAATTAATAAAATTAATTTGTGGTTTTAATTAATAAAATAATTTGACATACCTGATGTTACAATAATTGTCCAAAATTTTGTCCACCGACGTGTAAACACATTTTCTACGAACTAACACAAATGTTGTCTTGCTTCTCCATAACACAAATGTTGTCTTGCTTCACCATAACACAAATGTTGTCTTACTTCACCATAAATTAAAACAATATCCATCAACGCTGAGTTGCAAGTAATTTTTGACACTTAAAAACTAGTGTAAACACTATCGCAAAAATGTTAATACTAAAATCGAATTTCAGTATTCGGGATCGTCTGGGGCGACGCGGGAAAAGAACGCATTGCGCACAGCGCACAACGCGAACGACGCTAGAGACTGCAGTAGCCCAGCTATGTAAAGGTTGAAAATATTGCTACGTCAATCATTTTTTTTTCGGAAACTATAAGGATTTTACAAAAATTTTTTTGGATAAGTTGTGAGTCGTCCTGTATGTACAAGTATATACAATTTACAGAGATTTGAAAGTATAAAATACTTGATATTTAACAAAACAGCCAATTTCGTTTTGAATTATAATTTTATCAACACTAATATATCTTTTAATTCATTATTTCTAGGACCTGTTTGCGCTGGAGTTGTGGGTTTAAAAATGCCTAGATACTGCCTTTTTGGTGATACTGTAAACACTGCCAGTCGAATGGAATCAACAGGAATTCGTAAGTAAATCCCTACGCAGAACAAAGTCTATGTTGGTATTAGTACTAGAAACAGAAAAGGTAAAATAAATAAAAGAAGATTAATTAACTTCTCCGAAAGATATGTTTTCAAATTTTTAATAAAATATTTAAAAAACGGTAAAAGAAATTGTGATAAAAAAAAGTGGCTCTGTTGACCAAACACAAACAAGTAATTTTCATACTTATAGCTTATAGCCCAGTACTGTAGCTGAAAATATAGTAATATCTCCGAATTTTTTATAACTGCATCGATTTTTCTCAAAATTTAGAATTAGGCTCATCTTACCCCCCACTTCAAAACTTATATATGCGCTAGGTGTGCTTTTTGTTCTTAAGGGGTGAAACCCACACCTTATTGGAAAAAAAAAAGAAAAAATACAAATTAAGCATTTTATGTTATCAAATCTTTTTTATTTGGCAATATGAGTAATTTCATGTGCTATCTAACATAAAACTTAATTTTCAATCCGGAAAAACTTTTAAAAACCACCCCTTTGGATGAAAACAATATATATTTTTTTTCAACTTGAAACGTTTTAATCATGCATTTTTATCAAATTAAAATTGATTTCTTGATTAAAAAATCTTTTTTATCGATTGCAACCTTTCAACCCTTGAAAAATACCCCTTCTTTCGAAAATAAAATGAAAAAATATTATTGAAAGAGTAGAAACATTTTAAATGTGCATTNCCTTCCACAAATAAGATCCACTTCTTATTTGTGGAAGGGCGAAATGGGCGTTGACTATTAGACGCCTTCATTATAGCCATCCTTGTCTATCACATGGATTTCTATGGCTTACTTTATCGCTCTCACGTAACTTCTGATAGACCATCGATACTTTCCTACACTGTTAATATATACACACACACAAAATTAAGAGTATTTTATAAATTTTTATTTTCCTTTTTAATAATAATAAATACAAAAAAAAAACATAATTATATGTAAATAATTATTCGTCGTTAAAAAAAGATCTAAATGCTACAAAATTCTTGTTTGACCTAAATTTTCCTAAAATTATCACCTATACACGTGATTATTTTTTTGACGATAACTTTCTTACTTTTCAAGATTTTTAATCGCACAAAGGCTCATTTTGCAGGGAATTGTAAGGGCTACGTGAACTGTTGAGTTGATCTTTTTTAAACCCTTCATTTTTAAGTTTGAAGGGTTTAAAGGGCTCGAAAAGGGTGGTTCTCTCATTCATATGATAACTTAAAATGGCGATATCTCGATTAATATTAATTTTAGAGGAATAAAAAAAGCAAAATCTTCAACAAAAATAAAGCTAAATTTTTTTACTCTTGTATTTTTTTCGTATACCCTTTAATTTTTAAGTTACAGCGTAAAAATCGACTTTTTTCAAAAATTTGAAAAATTAACATTTTCAAAATTTAAGTTTTTTTTCGAAATCCTGCTTTGTAAGTGAGCCAAAGATCCAGAACATATTCTTAGAACATGAATGAAGAAATCTGTAAATGGATTGCATTTAATTTTAATTCTGTCGCCAAAGGCACTGATTTGTTTATTAATTTTTGAAAAATGAGACTATCATGTTATTTCGATCATATTTCCGTTAATTTTGATTCTAAAGACTTGTAAAACAGCTCATTTTAAAGGTTTTTCAAAGTAATTTTAAAAAGGTTCAAATAGTTTTTTTCCTAATATTTATGGTTTTAGCGTTATTTAATGTTAATTGGTTCCAATTTAGTTTTTAGCTAACATATAATAATGTTTAAAAATCCATAACTCGGTTTATATTGCAATTAGAGACAAACAAAATAATGTCATTAGATTTGTTTTTTTATTACCTTTCTTTTTGTTCGTTACAACTTTTTCGTTAAATCCAATGGTTTCAGAGTTATTTGCAAAAAACTGTCCGAAAACAAGTACTTTTCCAGTAAAAAATCAACATTTTCAATGACGAATTACTCGGAAAGTATTGGATTATCCAAAAAACTTTATATAACATTTATTACTTAAAATTGACTCCTCTATCGATTCCTGGTTATCTTGGGCGTAAAAATTTACACCCTCAAGAAGGGGTGGGAACCACCCCCAGGGCAAAAGCGCACTTTGGCACTATATAAGTTTTGTTCCTTGAGGCCCTACATTCAGTCGAAATTTCAAGTCAATCGGTTCAGTTATAAAGAATTCGGAGGTAAAAACCCTGAGTAACTGAACTAATATTACCATCAGCAAATCTTGTTACTGCTGTTTTTTTCTTTCTATATTTCAATTTGTTTTCAAGATTTTAAAGAAAGTACCTACGCATTTTGGTATAAAAAATAAATCACATGAATATGCTTGGATGTCTGGAGGACAACAATTGAACAATTACAAACAAAGGAATATGTGACAGATAGATGTATGCACAAAATTGTTTTTCCAGCGCCTTCTATTTGTTATGATTTAGAAAGCGAGCATCGTAAACTAAAGTCAAAGACTGAAAGTTTTCACATTATTTCTCAAAAATTTCGTTATGCAAAGGCATACTTTTATATAGTTAGAAAAAAAACTAAACAAATCAATCAAAACGGGCTAAAAATTTATGCAATCCCATTTTTAAGAAATATCGATGACGCCACCACTCATCTACAGTGTGACGAAAAAAGAATGTGTTTCAGTATAAAGAAAATGACATGCCATTTAAAAACTAGCCCATATTGTTTGTTACACTATTTTTTGACGCCCTATATCAAACCGGTCGTTTCAGCATTAAAAATTCACTGCAGCAAGGCCTGCAAGGAGCTCCTGACCAAGATAGGCGGGTATCACTTACTCGAGAGAGGCATAATATCCATCAAAGGGAAGGGGGACCAGAAGACGTACTGGTTAGTGGGCGAAGACCCACATTTCCGGGTAATTAGGAAGGAGGAAAGGGAACGGCGTAGGGTCAACGCTGAAGGGAAGAACATAAAGACCGCTCAATTGGATAGCAACGGCCATTACATCATCACGAGGAGCTCCTTGAAGAATAAAAATAGCATTATCAGGAGCCCTTTGCTGCGATGTTCGTCCTTCGAGAGCCCTAAGAGACTTAGGTGAGTTTAGTTTATTATTTTTTTTAATTGTAGGGGGGCGTTAGACAATAATTAGACTTTAGCTAGACCTACCTTACCTACCTTCTATACCTACCTTCTTACCTTAGGGAAGAAAATAAAAAAAAAATTAAATTTTAAAAGCAAAGAGTAGTACCTAGTAAGAAAAAGTTTCATATATAGGGTGTTTGTAAATAAGTGCGACAAATTTCAGGGGGTGATTCTACATGAGAAAATAATGGCAGTTTGCTTATAAACCGCAAATAATTCGTTTTCCGAGATACGGGGTCAAAGTTTTTCTTAAAAACTGACGATTATTGCTCTGAAACCTGGTATTCTATGGTATTCTACTTAATATGGTATTATTCTTAATTTCTTAAATTATACGCATTAAATTAATACTTATCTATTATTTTAATAGAAATAACAAGATATATGAAGTTCAAAAAATTCTCTAGTAAAATTATAAAAAATATATGTAGGTATAAAAGATATTTAAAAATTCAATTTTCTTAACAAATTCTTTCATTTGTCACAGCATTACACACAATAATTTAAAACAGATTTATACGATATATTTGTTAATGATATCTTCTTCTATATCTTCGTAAAATGTTGTAGATAAGTGCATCTCTCATTAGATACTTTGCAAGGTGTATTTATTATCTTGTGACACTCTCCTTGAATAAATAATAAATTTAAAATGTCAGCATTTGAATAAATGTTAACGTTTTCCATTCTTTAACAATAAGTAATACTGAAATAAATATTCACTGTATGTGTTAAATTGACAACAATAAACTGGTAACAGATTAGTTGCTTGTTTTGAAGTTCCACTAAAAATTTCACAGCCATCCTCACAAGAAATTATGTGATATCCGTTGACTGCACGAAAAACAGTAAATACCTTAAAAACCAGAAGAAATAGGTATAGGAAACCATTCGAAAGAGAGCAAAATTGTTCATCAGGTTGCGCAAAAATATGCAGGATGTTCCATGTAAGAAAAATAAGTAAAGAAGGTTTAAAGTTGACTAAATTCGCCATTAAATTTCTACCACCCTGCATGAAATTAAGACATTTTGTAATTATAGCAGAGAAGTTTACAGTTTTAGTTATGTCTCCTATAAATTTTATCACTCTAACTTTATTACTGTAAAATACACATCTTTTTGAATTAGGCAGTATTTTTTAATTTTTTTTTTTTTGAAAATAATTAAATATATCAAAAACGCTTAACTTTAAGAATAGGAAACCTTTATGGAAGTTCACTTAAAAATTGACATAGAATACAAAATTGCTATAATATACAGGGTGTTCCATTTAAAATAACAAAAATGACGTCAACTTCCGGTATATCCGGAAGCGTTAGGTGGACGCCATTATTTTAGTTCAGAAGGGTATGCCCGAAAACATTATTGCCCAACTTTTCAAAAGTAAAATCGAAGTAGTCTCTGAAATATGTCTAATGTTTCGTACCTGTATATATCACATATATTTCAAATCCTGTCAAACGACTTCTCTGATCGTTTTGTGATGAATGAGTCCTTTTCAAAAGGAAAAAATGAGATACAAAAATGAGCTCAATTCTTTATTGTAGCTTGATTTGAATGCAATGTTCAAGTTTATTTGAAAGTCAACTCTTGTTTTTTGATAGTAATACCATTTCTAACCCCGGATTTTGAAACTCCGATAAATTTTACGTTTAGACTTGTGGTAGAGTTAAACATTTTCAAGATCTGTTGAGGTCAAATCTCACTCTCAAACTTTTCAGGTTGGTATCTCGTCAGTATAGCGAGATGTTGGGAAAATGACTTCTACAGAAGTTGTTTAGGTCGTTGGGAACCATCATCTCATGATTCTGGATTTGACTTTGAATGTTCAAGGTTATTCTTATTTTAAAGTAAACTCTTGGTTTTCTTGATATAATACCTTTGAATACTGTAGAATGAATCATGCCACACATCCCCTTTCGGTGCAGCGTCACCATCTTCAGCATATTATGAGGTAGCAGAATTTGAAATAACCTCACTGTGGATCCAATTATGAAACCAAGGTCACAGGCTAAGAGTTTGTAAGACCAAACTTTCGAATAAGGATAAGAAGAAAACCAGATCACGGATACGAAAAGCATCATTTCACCGTCTCAGGGTCCTATTTTAGTGACATTTATCAAAATAATCTTCAAGGTCAAATCTAAGTCACGAAGTGGTGGTCCCCGATAATCCAAACAACTTTTATAGAGGTCATTTTCACGGCATCTCGCTATCCTGACAATATGCCAGCCTGAGAAGTTCGGAAAGGGAATGTTACCTTCAATTGACCTTGAAAATGAAAAAATAACTCGGCCATATCTCCGAACGTCAAATTTATCACTCTTTCAGTATCCGAGGTCAGAAAATTATATGAAAAACAAGAGTTGACTTTCAAATAACCTTGAATATGAGCAAACTTCGTCAAACGGGCACTAGAATCGAATTCAACGACCATAAAAACGTAGAAAATGGTGCTCTAGTCTATCACACATTTTTTTGCCATGGGCTCTATTATTTTTCATACTAAAATTGACTGACTGAAGAGGGTACCGCGAATAAGGTCTTGTTAAGAACGTAGTCTTAATTGGTAAAGTTACATTCAATTATTTTGAAAAAAAATTGTGTTCCAGATTCGCCAGCGGCGAAAACTTGGAACGAAAAAACGGAGAAAAGCTCCTCGACGTGATATTCGACAACAGCCCGTGCAAAAAGTCTGTCAATTCGCTGTTGGAGAACTCCACAGACTGCTGTAGCGAAGCTTGGAAAACTTCTAGCAACTCCTGTCCCTGCATTGAAAACTTGGCGAACTCCGCGGCTACCCTAGCTCAATCCCAGTTATCAATGCTCGCCAGAGACGAGAAAAATATCAAATACAGCAAACCTTCCTATAACAGCGTGCCGACTCTATGTTACCGTCTGTCGCTGCCACCCTATCCCGCCATTCACGCGATATCCGCCCCTGCTAGCCCCAGGAAGCAGGATTTACTTTTGGCGAAGTTCCCGGAGTGCGAGGAGGTCGTTCCGTGGGCCGATTGCACTCCGTTACTGAAGATAACTCAACCGCAAGATTCCGAAACGTGTGTTTAATCTGTCGCATACTAGATTTTCACTCTGAAATATTATTTTTGCGTTTCAGAACTAAAAATTAGAAACAAAAAATTCTAAGACCAGATCTGACCTACGCAGGGTGACATCTGTAGTGGTTACTGACCAATGTGTTCCAAATTATAATCATCCGTTGCAAAGTCGAACACCTGTATTGGTTACAAATTTATTTGGGCCTTATTAACATGTTAATTTTTTTATAAAATATTTTCAAATGAAAATAAAATGTGTAAAAAAAAATATATTACGAATAGTCGTTTAGTTGGCCAAACCAAAACAACGCATTTTTTAAATAACTACCTGTATATCTTTTTACAATGAATTTTTTATCTTCTATTTGTGAAAAAATAATATAAGGTATGTATTATATGCAGGGTGTATCTCTAAATGGGGTTATATTTTTATGGAAACTACCTTTGACCTTTAGAAATACATATTACACGTTTGTTCTCTCAAATCTATCGTAAAACCGAATATTTTTTTAAATTCTTTTTCGAGATATAGACATAATTTATTTTTTTTATGGAATACCCTGTAGATCTGTAGACGTTTAACGTTTTCGAGATATTATGTATTTTAGTACAAATACCATGCTTAAGGCTACACCCTGTACGATAAATTAGGTAATTTTCCATACCTTCAAATTGATTTATCTATTTTGTTTTCATATACCTACAATACGAATACTTGATTGTATTTGAAATTAAATAATATTTGTACATTAGCTAACTGACATTTAATAAAATGTAAGGTTAATTAAATAAATACTAACTAATTATATACCCACCAACGGAGAGGTCAAAAATATCTGAGAGAGACTGACTACTACAATAAAGTCAACCAATGAAAAATAACCGACAATAAATCTCTTCAGCTGAAAAGTTTTCTCTATTAGAAAATCTGATTAACATTTTTACTAAAAGTAGTCATTTATTTCATATCAGCAGGTCCCTCTCATTTATTTCTTCTCATTAAATATATTATTCATTCTCGACATTTAGGTTTTATAAAAGCTTTGACAATTCAAAATGTATAGTTTAACATACATAAACTGATGGCTTTCTTGACAAAGAGGCAGAATAAATGTCGTGAAGGAATAATAACTAATTGTTTCCAAGAATTGTAGGTTCTAGTCATGTTGTAACCATAAATTTTAAAAATTATTACCGAGGCAAAATAATCCATGAAATACATCAAAACGGTAAAATAGGTACCTACCTACAAACTTCATTCGCTTCTGCAAGAAGTCGAGTTGCACCTATTTAGTGGATTGTGTGGCATTTATTTTTTTTGGAAAGGCTCGTGTTTTATCCCATGTACTGAATACTGTTTTATTTATATATTGCTATTTATTATTAATATTTACCATATATTTCAATGACATTAATAAATGTGTAACATTACATTTTGTGTGTGATTTACCACCATCCTCAAATTCATAAAGTCAAAATATCTATACAAATTTCTATTTTTTATATTTTTATATTATCTTGATAACATGACAATCAATTCCATAGAAAAACATATAAGCAAATTGACTTGGTCTTACCCATATGAGTAAATAAAATACCCTTATGGTTTTACCTAATACCGACGTTCTCATTTTATTTATTTACTTTTTTTACAGACAATCCACTTACCTTACAGTGGCTTGCTCAGATATTATGTAATTTCTTACTAGTATATAAAACGACCAACTTACAATTATTTTAAATAAAACAGGAACATCTCACGCGTGCGAAATCCTATGTGTTCGATAGTCTGTGTCACCGAAAACCTACGTCTACGAAATCCTGTCTGTTCGAATCGAGTTCACAATAAAACTACAAATAAAACGGAGATAACCTAGGCTTCCATTTCTGTAGGTAATATTCCACTATTGGTATACAATTTGCATTCAATTTTAAAACTTTAAACTCAACAAAGACGCCTAAACTGTTTTTTTTTCCTGTGGAATTTGGTACAATTTCGTTATTATTACTAGAAGCGACTAGATCATGTGCAAAGTTTGAAATGAGTGCCTTGTTTTAACTGTCCGCTCCACCTTCTCTCAACTGATGTTTGTACACCTCTGGAAATACAGTTTTCTAGAACAAAGCAGAACAGCGTATGTTCGCTCTTTCCGCGCTTAAGCCTCCGAAAAAAAGATGTCGCGACGCGATTTGACCGTGGCAAAATTTGCTTGGCAATTATTAAACAAGATGTAGACACAATCTGTCATTTACATCTTTAAGAAAACACATTCAACAGGCGAGTTGAACTGAATAACAAGCGGGCAGTCGGTTTCACATCTCAGTGTGTTGCGTGATAACGAATTCGTTGAAGGAAGTAAACGAAGTTGTTTTTCCGACAGAAAAGTTTTTACCGAGTTGAAAATCTCAGTGTGCCGTTGGTTATATAGCGTTTTTCTAGTAAGAAAAATACATTAGGAAACATTAACTTGTTGTTTAGCTGTATGTTATTTAAATAAATGTTGTTTACTTAAATAATGATATGATAAAAATAATAAAGTGAGTGCGTGAAGAAATTTATTTAAATCGAAAATACAAGTACGAATTAAACCGGTTGCCTGCCCCTTGATTTTTACAAGTTGCTGGTTACTTTGTTACAAGTTTTGAAAGTGAAATTGTACCTTAAATCGGGTAGTTGCTGTAGAAAGTGTGAAATTAATAAATGTTATCTGACCATTTTTGATGTTAATATTCTGGTTGTTCAAATACATTAACGAGTGCGGTAAATAAAACATTAATGTTTTTTATCCCTTGTACAAATAACAGAGTTTAAAAATAGCCCATATTCGTAAGTGTTGAGATCACGTGAATCAAAGGATAATTATCATCGTATCTGCTGGATTTTTTAAGAGCGCCAAGATCTCAAGAACAATCCACTGGCATTTTTGAACACATGGTAAGTTTTACGTTTGTAATGCTCTGTTTATTTTTGTCGCCAAGGTCATTTTGTAAACTCCGGCTTTTTATCATTATATTGACCTCTCCAATTCTTATGTGATTTTTAAAGACACACGTGTATTGATAAATTTACATAAAATACGCATATCCTCTGAATTTATGCATTAGGAAAACACTGAAGTTGCATGCTTGATTAACGCAGTTTCAAGTAAAAATTTTACAAGAATTCCGTACACTGGAAAATGTGATTGACTATGTAATTGTTTAATTCTTTTACCCATGGCGTACAACCGATATCACAGTTGGTTAAATGGTCTAATAAGAACTAAAAACATTTAGCAATATGGTATTTCCATGTAGGTATTTCTTAGGAACAAATTTATTATGATCTGTGGCTCCAAACATTATGAATTTTGATGAATATCTAAATATGACATCATGTTACCTGGTTACCTAAAATATTGAAGAGGGTGATTACTCATTACTCAGGTCATTCTCAAGAAGTCAGCATGTTTTGAATTGTCTCAATACTAAAATACGGAGACTTTTTTGGTCAGTATTGGACAAAAAATGCCTAAGTGAAACTCCGTTTAAGAGGAAAACAATTTTATTAATAAGGTATATGTTTTTTAGTGTGCATGTCGAGGTCCGTGTATCTCTATGTAAAACTTTAAAGAGCTTCTCGAGTTTCCCTCTGTTATATGAATTTAAAGAATAGATTTGTTTGGATTTTACTAATTATTAGCAAATACGAGAGCAAATCATAGTACTTAGTGAAGATCTACATTTGACTTATTTCCTGTAAAACAAATGATTAAGATATCAGTTATTTGAAGTAGTCTTCGATTATTTCCTCAAAGGTTTTACAATATAAGTCGTTTGTCACAATACTTTGAAGTACTTTAATTATGATATACTTGAGAGGATATTAAATAAAGTCATCCTCAAATTGTTCACATTTTACCATTATCAGTTTGAATAGGTTCTATTTGGAACATGATATTGTACAGATGTATTTCTGAAAAGATTAGAGATTACGTTTGTGTATTATTCTTTTCATGTTTAGGTACTTAATAAAAAATACCTTTTAAAATGCTGAAAAGTCCTTTTAGACGAAGTTTACAGGGTTCTAAAATAATATTTTAACTCGATTAATGAAGTGCACTTTTGAAATATAATTAAGTCCTTCTTTTGAAAGCGGTTTAAGTTTTTACTTCCATTTTTCTCTAACTGCATACGTTCAATGAATAAACAAGTCTTTATATCTGATAAATTAAAATCTGCTGAAACGCTAATGAAAGAAAAACTTGCGGTCCACAGAAACCGAGTTTTAAAAAGTTTCTTTCGCAGCAGTTTTGTGCCCACTGTATTGGCAAAGTTTTAATGAAAAGCTTTAAGGATTTTCCCTGTGCGGGTTTCTTTCGGAAATTACCGAAATTGTTGTTAATATTCCTACTCTGAAGGTACCTATGTTCAATCATCTAAAAGAGTAACATGTTTAATTTTTGGTTTTTTTATCGCATTGCGATAGATAAATTTAGAAAAAAAAGTCGGTTACCATAAATTCAAACATATTTATTGGTATTTTATAAAGTCCTAGTCATACTTTGTACTGATACCTAAAGATAAATAGTACACAATATTATTTAAATCAATTAATTAAACAGCTCTCTTAAGTCAGTAAAATTTGAAAATATATCTAAAGCGAAAACCTCTCTAGTTAGGACAAAGTAATATTACACACCTTTTTTGTGGCGTCTTTATCCTTCAATGCGCTTCAATGTTTAAATTAAAAAATGAGCTACCAAATCTCTCAAAAACGGTATACTTAAAACTTGAATTAATCTTAGACTTTAATTGTAAGGAATAATTAAGTAAACAATGTTTATACTTATCCAAGACCAATGATATACATTTTCTTCCATAAAATTTACTTCATATTTGAAATAATTAATTATAAGGAAAAGTATTGTTCATATATTTTCGAGGAACACTGCGGTGTTCATTTAAGTATACGAAGACTTTTTTTGGATGAAAATTTTGCCCTAGTTTTTGTCCAGCCTCAATTTGAGGTGGAATCTTTGAACCATTTCAAAAACACCCTTGATGAGAACATTAAACTGGAAACAAAATATACTGTAAGTAAAATAGGTATTAAATAGTAAACTACGATCTGGATGTCTGTGTGTAAAGGTTATTTATGGTTCTTATACTCTTCAATAACTTTAAATGAAGATGTATCGAGAGATTTATACAATTTACACAGTCAAATTATTTACAGTATTTATTTATAACATTATATTATTATTTAAGTAGTTAAAACATTGTGCTATATTATTACGCTATAAATGAATCTAAACATGCCTACCGAACAACTAGCATAGTTCTCTACATGATTAATCTGATTGGTTGCGCCAAATCAGGCCATGTAGCTTCACACATAATTATTAGGAATAATACATTTTAAAATATAATAGGACAATTTAAAAGGTAAGAATACGTCGCAAAAAGAAAATATACACTCAAATCTGTAATCCTGCACAATGTAGGTACTTATATTTAATTGTTCAAAGTTCAAAGGAAATTAGGGAAATGTTATTTAAGATATGTAAAGCGGATTCAGTCGATTCGCCAAGGAATCTTAGAAATATTAAATGAACATACCTGGTTGAACAAGCCAGAATAAAATTTTGGGTTGAATAATCAAGTTTCCGTGCCAAAATTGCTTTTGAGGTTATCCACTCTTGCTGATGAAATTCGGCAAGTTTACATTTTCGCTCATATAAAGAGTTAAGTCTCCATAATCCCTATTTATAAGAATAGTGCGAAAAAAAGTTATATTTTTTGTTAGAAAGCATAGAAATCGTCGAGGATATCGTAATAATAATTTTGTACATTTGCTGAACCCCTAGAACGTAAGTTTTTTTTTAATTTGGAAAATGTGAGATGTTAAGTTTTAAAATGTAATATTAATATTTTAATATAGGAAGAACTGTTGTTTAGCACTTTGCTTCAATCAGAATCCCCAATATTCTAATGTAATTTAAATATTCTTTCATAGTCATATTCCTAAAATATGTAACGGAAGTAATTAATTTCATAATCTGCTCCGAATACATAATAATTTTCAGAACTTTTACGTAATTTATAATTATTTTTATGTGCAACTTCGTTATTTTGTTGTTATAAATATTTGTTGTTTCTGAAACAATTGCTCAAATAACTGCTGCTCCTCTCCTAAAGATGTTTGTATTGAAAATTGATGCCAGACTTACAAGGAAATTTGACCGCCTCAAGCCATTATTTTTCTAGAAAACAAATTAGTAACGTTATTCATTATAGAATATAAAATATACCAAAGCAAAGGTTCATATTATCATCCTTGATTTTAGTCTGCTTTTGAGACGAATAATTTATTTTTCACATTATTTTATGCAAAAATTTTTATCCTTGTGATATTTTTATTATAACTGTTATTCAAATGTCTACCATACGTTAGGTCGTTAGTTGCATTGTTCCATAGTATTTTAGATAGTGGTAGTGTTTTTCCTCGCTTTGAAAGAGGACAACATAAAAGAATATAATACTCACGCTCACGGATAAGCTGGCTCGGGACTCTATTTCTTACTCTATAGCGATAGCTACTTATTTTGTCTGTGATATGAAGCTAATTCAAACAAATTTGTTATAAAAAACCTTATCAAATACTAGAAATATATAAGTAGGATCGTATTCGATGCAAAGTAGAGCAAGAAGATGTCTTTTATCAAAGGAAAATCGTGTCATCATTTTTAGGAGGCGTAAGATGAACCATTTAAATTTAAAATGAAATTGAATGTAAAATCTGAAATACCGCTGCATACGCACTGTGTTCTGGTAGTAGCTGTAGCCGCTCAGGTGCATCGAGTGTACGAAGTGGTCGGTTATACGTCAAATACTAACCTGGCGAGCTTTGCCGTCAATTAGAGAGCGCTTCCAAAAAACAAGTAAACAACAGTGGCGCGTACAGAGGTAAAATGTAGTACATATGTGGAATTTAAAAAACAAATTGGATTTATAATAAATTACATTTAAAATAAATAGTTTATGAGAATAAAGGAGTTTTTGTAGGAACAAGGGTGCCAGACGTTAACTGATCCCCTCGTTCCTTCATAATGTATAAAGAAATTATTTAATTTCTAAAACCCTTAAAAGCGTACTGCATTGGATCTCTTGACAGGCAATGATTTATTGCTTTGCATCGAATATGATCCTTCTATAGGTATGTAAAATATTTAATCCCAAAGACGAGATTCCGATAATGCTGATGTTGTTAGAATAAATAATTATCGAAAATAAAAACTAAAAATGATCTAAATTATGTGCTTTGACAGTTCACTTGGGTTGGGTTAGGTTAGGTTAAGATGTTCCAGCGAGGCTCCTTCTTGAAGGTTTGTTGGTATTGTCACATTTATTAAGTTGTATAGAGTATATCCGGTGGTCAACTTCATTTAACCAGTACAAAAGAGTTTGGCTTAACAACAATCGTTCTAATTTTAATGCCGGTGTTAAATGTAAATATTTTAATATACTTTATTTGTAACGCAGCATTCCATTCTAAATCTAGTAAACAAGCTCCGGAGATTCACTCGAAAGCAAAGCACCTTCGGTGATTTAGTTCCACAAACAACTATTTTACTATTTTTGAAGAGATAATTAAAATAAAACGAAATAGCAGCAATGAAATATTGCCGTTCCAAAACAAATAAACGAAACGGTCGACTTCTGTTTCAGTATCGAGGATTTATTTATCTATCCTCCGAAATTTGCTTCGAGATTTAATTATCCGCGAATACCGCTGTACACCACACAAATATTTACTTACCTCGCCTGCTTTGATTTAGTATTATAAATACATTTCGCGTGGAGAAAACGGTCTTCGGATGCGAGCCGAGTTATTTTTTCCTCGGCAGGCTTATATTTAACCCGAAGCCTAGTTTCGATGTACCAAAATATTTA